GGTGAAGCTATGCAGATTGACCAGGGGGAGAGGACCCATCGGCTTGACTCCCCCCACCCTGACTTCCCTGGGTGGTTTCAGAGGCACATCTCAGGTGTTCTGGGGCCCACAAAGCTGCGTTGAAAGCTATACTCTTCACTTGGTGAGAAAGCCGAGGCTAAACGGAGCCACGGGCGGCGCCCAAGGCCCACGGCTCCTCTCTCCCACCGGGTGCTTTCTGCAGGATAGGGCTGCTGCCGTCCTGGGCTGCTGGCTGCTTTGGTGATGGGCTGCTTTGAGCAGGGTGTGGTGGAGTTAGCAAGGGCTTAGGACAGACAACCGAAGCTTGAGCCCCGACTCTGCCAACCAATAGCGGGAGACCTTAAATGACAGAAGTTCTGACCTGCAGGTTCTCAACTTCAGAGTGGAGATGGGTTGACATAGTTTATGTAAAGCAGCTAGAGTGTTGTGGCCACTCAGCACCTACTAGGGACTCTAAGAGGTAAGTAATTTTATTAAAGGAGCTAGTAAAGAGGGACCCATAGTCAAAGAGACTAAGGATGGCGGAGAAGACAGTTGAGTGAAAGGCAATGAGTGCAGATTGAGAGGAATCTCACGTTAAATTGCTTCATGTTGACTTCTGGGCCCCTGAACTCTTTCTACTTTCTGTCCAGAGAGGAGGTCATAGCCCTGGCTGCCCTCACTGAGTTTTGGAACACATTTGAGAGGTGGCTGATAGATAGGTCCTGGGCTCTTGCTCAGGGCTGCCTAAGTCACTGACGATAGCTCCCACCTCGTGGCAGGAGAGCCAGCAGGAGGCTGGGGTCAGGGTGTGGGGACAGGAAGTGGGCCGTTGGGCTCGTGGTTCTGACATACTTTTTTTTTTTTAATTGTGGCTGATGTTGCAGCTAGTAGAACGTTCCTATTACCACACGCCTTGATTGTTTGATAAAGATGCTAAAGTTCTCTTCTTGGCTGTGCTCAGTCATGTGGGCTGAAGATAAAGGGCCCTTGGGGTCCCTGAGGCCTCCTGGTCTGAAAGGCACAGCTGGGTCACAAGGGAAGAGACCACAGCTTCGGCATCTGCTAGGTCCCCTTTCTGGAGAAGCTTGGTGGTGGTTCCCACTGTCATGTGACTCCAGGTGACCACATTATCCAGATAACCTATGAGAATGGCCCTCTTCCTTGAATTTTCTGATCTACACTTCGTTGTTGTTGTTGTTGTTGACGTTACTTTATGTCACTGGAAGTAGCACACCACAGTGGGAAGAACCTCATGGAAGGATGGTTTCAGGAAACCTGTGTTCCCTTCCTGGCTGAATCAGTAACACGTTATTTGGTGTTAGGACTTGGTTTGCCCATCTCTGAGAGAATTTAATGAGAGAGTCTATAAGGCTGCATAAACATCTACAAGTCCTTTGTCTCCACCCCTCCCCCACCCCCCTTTCTTATTTAAAGGACTTAGATACCAGTTAAAGCTACAGAGAAGTTGGCGAGATTTTATATGCAGTTGTTCTATTGAGTTGTTATTATGTACTGTTCATTGCATAAGGAACTTTAAAGTGTTACCTTAGTTAATCCTCACAAAAGCCCTGGTAGACAGTATTGTTCCTATTTTGTACACAAGAACATTGAGGCTCAGAGATGTTAAGCCAGTGGTTTAAGTGACCCTGGTCGTCGATCTCAGTGGCTGAGCCTTACGCACGAAAACTTCCTGTGGAGGGGGAGGACTCACCCTCTTGGCATCAGGTCTTTACCGCTCGGTGACGGGGATGCTGACATTTATTTATGAGGCACTGGTGTGTGCCCCAGTATTGTGCTAGAACCTTTCCATCTGTGATCTCCTCTAATCCTCAGAAGAGTGATAAAGTGTGTGGTGTTATTACTGTTTACAGGGAAAAACTCAGTGTAGTAAGGGCCTTGACTGCGGTCTCACCGCCAGTAATTGGTAGCAAGATCTGGCCTTGGGTTGTGAGTTACCAGAGACACCCCCTTTCCCAGTTCACACCTTCTCTCACTGGAGGTGGGCCGGGCTGCCCTGCTAGAACCTGCTGAGAGCCAACAGGTGGCTCTCTTGGAGATGGGGGATCCCTGTACAAATTCTAGGGGTCTTAAAAATTTATGTCATGCTGGAGAGCTAGGTGTCTGCCTCCCATGCTCCAGGACATAGTTCTCAGCTTCCACAAACTTCCCTCAGTCCGTCCTGTGATGGTAGCCTTATCTCACTTTCTTAGCCTGTGTGTCTATTTGAGGAAAACTGAGTTGACACACGTGTGTGTGTGGCTGTGCGTGTACACACGCAAACATTGGGTGTGTCTCCTCAGTGTAGGTCTCTAGAAGACCTCTGAGGAGAGGAGACACTCCACAAATGCTTTCTAGAGGAAGACTGGGTTCCTGTTTTCTAGTGAGGATTGGGGAAATCCTTCGTGGGAGGTGAACTCTCTGGAGGCTGCTGCGATGCCCAAGTATTGGTGATAGTTGATCGAAGGAGCATTTTCTCTCAAACTAGAAACTGCTGGGTGAAGGCAGGTTACTGGTCTATGTGGAAACTAGTGACTTATTCAGCTAAAATTGATTAAATTGCTCTTACATATCTACTACATTGTAAGTGAGAGAATACACATGGAATAAATTAATGACAAGTACAAGTAATTTAAAAAAAGATATTATTTATTTTTGGAGAGGGAAAGAGAGGGAGAAAAGGAGAGAAACATCAGTGTGTGGTTGCCCCTTGCACGCCCCCAACTGGAGACCCAGCCCGCAACCTAGACTGGGAATTGAACCGGTGACTCGTTGGTTTGCAGACTGTCACTCAGTGCACTAAGCCACACCAGCCAGGGTGCAAGTACAAGTAATTTTAATTGCAAGTGGCAAAAGCCGACTCCGGCTAAATGGATTTTAAACATGCTGACATTTTTTAAACAGTAGAAGAATACTGTTCTGCTCATTGAAAAAATATTGGGGAAGGTCTGGAGAGCCTGCACCAAGCCAGGGCATGGCTTGGGAAGGACAGAAACGAGCGTAGCTCTGGGAATCTAGCAGTCATCTCTGTTTGCCGACATCGGTTGAGTCTGCTCTGTCCCCTTCACAATTCAAATTCCTCAGGGAACCTGGGTCATGATTGAGAACCTGCCCAGAATCAGGTGGGAAGGTGAGGGGTATCTCCACAAAGGAAGGAGTTCTGGGCAGGCGCACACTCCCAGGATCTTCTATAGGAGGTACACAAGGCAGTCCTGACCCGCCAGGGGTCTGTAGTCAGTGGGGGAAGGACAGATAAATCAAGGGACAACTCACAGTAGGCAGAGCTGGCTGCTGTGGGAGTTTGCACAAAATGCATTGGGAGCTGAGGGGAGGTTTGAAGTTTTGTGTGCGGGGAAAGGGCAGGTAAGGCTGACAGTTAAGGTTGCCTGAGATTGAGTTTTAAAGGCTAAGTCAAAATTTGTCAGCTGGACAAATGCATTTCAGGAGAAAGGAAGTCCTTGTGTGACAGCCTAGCAATATGAAAGAATGATGTGTCCAGGAAATGCAAGGAGTTCCCAATGTCTGGTATAGAGAGAGCATCCTAGGGGGAGAAATGTGGGTGGGGCCCAATCTTAAAGGGCCCCATGTGCTGTTAGGCGTTGGGAATTTTAGTCCTCGGAGGTGAGCTATCATTGAGTGACTTCAAGTGGCAGAAGGACATGATCAGTTCTAGTTTTAGGAAGATGATGTGGGGGCTGTAGCAGTGCATCAGATTTTAACTCCTTTGAATGTGGCTGTTGGACTTGGATGGCCAGTGGTTCCAGCTGAGCCACAGCATGAGATGATGGGGCGCCAGTCCAAAGAGGCTCCCTGGATGGCTGGAGAGTCCCAAACGGTAATGGGAATTCCCAGGAACTCCATTGGCTTTTGCAGATCAGGGGGATGGTCGCTGGTGAAGAAAAGAGGCCCCTGGTGGCTTTCACTGCCCATGGAGTTCTGAGTGTTTGCGACCGGCATGTCGTGGCTTAGAAGGCCATAGGGCCATTGAAGGTGAAGAAGCTGGTGTGGGGGGTTAACCTTTCCCTGCCTTCACTCCCCAAAACCCGTTCTCTGTCTGTGCTTAGAAACGGGCAGTGTGCAATGCAGCAGTGCTCTGGGAAGAACTTTTGAGAAGAATGGAGCAAAAGCTCAGGCCCTGGAAGGGAAGCCCTTCCTTTAGATAGCCACGTGGTGATGTTGCAGAGGAAGCTGAATGAAGTTAAGGAAGCTGGCGTCCCCAAGGGTGGCTGGGTGCTGGAGGCAGAGCTTCCTTTTCCTTATAAACATGAACTCTGACTGGGAACAACATAGAGCATTGTTTCCTTTGCAATAGGTGGTCTCCGAAAACAGGAAAATCTTCACTCCTATTGTAGGAATTTGCAGCCAGTGTTTGGAGGAATTGTGGCTGGAAGCTGTTCTAATAGAGACCCTGGTAGGGTGGGTCATGCATTTGGACAGTGTGGAGAAAGGGTTGGCACGTGGGCTCCCAGTCCAAGATGGGCGAGAACCTGCCAGCTCACACATTTTAGCTATGTGACTTTGGCCAAGTAACTTAACCTCTCTGTTTTTGGTTCTTTGACTGGAATGAATTACAGTAATGTCACCGTCACCAACCCTAGCAGTTTATTGAGTATTTATAGCATGCCAGACACTGTGCAGAAGTGTTTTTACTATTGATTATCTTATTGATTTCTTAAAGAAGCCTGTGAAGTAAGCAGTGTTATTATTAGCATTTCACAGATAAGAAAACCGAGGCACAGTGAGGATAGTAACTTGCCCGTCTTTCTCTTCCCTACCCTGCCAAAAAAAAAAAAAAAAGTCCATAAATGGTAGAACTAGGATTTAAATTCAGACAGTGTGGCTTTGGAGCCTGACACATCACTGAGCTGTTCTGAGTTTTAAAGGAGATTATGTATGTAAAATGGTTACTGTGGATCTAGCTTCTGTCCCCGGCATGCATGCAGTGCTGTGAGCTAGCTCTTGCGTTTGTGGTCTTACCCTGCCCCTTTTGTCTCTCCCAGAAGCAGCTGACACAGGATGATGATGCCGATGAGGTTGAGATTGCCATTGACAACACAGCTTTCATGGATGAGTTCTTCTCTGAGGTAGGCGACCTTCTGCTGCCTCCTTCTGAATGTGCCGAAGGAAACACAGTGTCCTCGGCGAAGAATAAAAACCCTCAGATCTTTGAAGGGTGGCCAAGAAAGTCGGTCATTCACTGGGGTGGGGTGGCCAGACCAAGAAGTTACAAGGAGAGTCTCTGCAATACTTAGTTGGGAGGATTTGGATTTTTTAATTTTAGGAAGAAAGTCAGCAGAAGGTAAGTGATATGTAATTAAAGAGATGCTTTTAAAGTCTTATGCAACATGACAACATGTTAGTGATATGCCTTTTTGCCTAAGTTCTATAATTTGAATAGAACTTAGCCACGAGTATAAAAACACATTGTATGTTCAAGCCTGTGATTCTTACAGATCAGATTTATTTCCAAACATTTTATTCCTTTGACTTAATTCTAGTGATAATGGAGAGGCCAGGAAACCACCAATTTGTTTTTGAAGTTGAATAGGGGTGAAGATGAGTTGCCCATGTCTACAGACTCACAGAGCCTTTGATTTTTTGAAGGTCCTTGTTGGGAAGGTGGTATGGGAGAGAGTGTGTGCTGGAAAGCTATGGGGGATAGTGCATCATGGGCAGAAACACAGGCTTTGGAGCCAGGTAAACCTGGGTTCAAACCTCAGCCCTGCTTCTGACCAGCCGTTGATCTTGTGAATGTTTCTTAGCAGGCTTGGTTTCCTTACCTGTAGATTGGGATGGGTAATACAGTTCCCTGGAAGGTTATTAGCAGGATTAAATGGGATAATGTTTCTAAAGCATTCAGTGTGGCATCTGAGATATATGTATGTGCTCAGTAGTGATCCTTTGAAACAAACAGAACAAACTCACAAGAAGTTCAGGCACTAAAGTCTCTGCCACCATTGGATGGTTTCTTTTAATGGCTTTTAAATTTTTTTGGAAAGAAGACAAGAGGCCTTGTATTCTTTTGCAGGGGGCAGGTGGGTGCTTCCCATCCCCTAGCTTATGGATATAGGGAAATCACCCTCCGGTTCTTGTCTAAGTGGAGTGGAGTGAGGCTTGACGGTTCGGGCCTGGTCATGTGGTAGAGTAATAAGCAGCTGCGAGAGGGAGCATGAGCAAGCGTGTGCCGGCCTGCTGGGAAGTTGGCTGTGGACGTTCCCCAGAGCCCCACCCTCCCCGTGGGTGGGTCTGTCCTTCAGGTTGAGAAGTCAGAGTGAGATGAAACGTCTGAGTTTTATGAGTTCAATTTTGTTCCAGGTGTGGATCCTGGAAGGAAAATGTCTTCCTGTTTACCAGTGGCGTTAGACTTGAGATGTTTACGTCACTGTAGCTTGTCCTTCTGACCTTGCCTTGGAGGACCAGATGCAGTCAAGAACGTAATCTAAGGAGATAAGGAATAAGGAATGAGGGATGAGGACTCTTATCCAATGACGGTGTTCTGCCTCTTCTCTTAAACCAGTAAGGGGGCCTCTGAGAGGTAGTGTCCTGGTGCGGTGGGAAGGTGGTCAGCATCAGCCTCCAAAACATGGTCTGAGTCCATCTGTAAGCATTTAAGAGCAGTTAACTTTGGTCAGGTCGCCTAACCCTTCTGGGCCTTAATTCCTGCTCTGGAAATCAGGGGTGTTAGCACCAACCCTTCAAGGCTCTCTGAGGCTCACAGGAGGTCCCATGCCTGGAAAGCGTTACCTAAACTGAAAGGCACTGGGTGGGTGATAGTTGCTTTTGGAGACCTGAGATCTCGAGGGCTGCTTTTTTTCTTGCAGCTTTTTCTTTGTCATGTGCTCTTTTGTCATTTAGAAAAAAAGAGCCCTTTCCTATTTAGGGTGAAAAAGGAGACAGCATGGTGGGGGGAAAGAGTATGGCCTTTGAAAGTAATTCATTTGCCTTATTTGCCAGGAACTGTGATCTTGGGCTCACTCCCTAATTTCTTGAAGTCTCATTGGGTTTATCTGTGAAATGGGGAGAAAGATAGACACCTCACAGGTTTCTTGGGGATTAAGGAGGTAATCCCCAGAGAGTCCTTGGTGTGGGCGCATGCAGACGGTACTTTCCTGCTCTCTCATCAGACAAAACACAGGAAAGCTAAGAGCTGGAGCAGGACAGGGGCGAGAGCAAGCGAGCTGGGGAAAGAGATCACACAGGCTCCAGCGCCACACAGTTCCTGGTCTGAACCTCAGCTCTGCCCATCGCTGGTGGTATAACTGTGGAACAGTTGTCTAACTGCTCAGAATCCCAGCCTCCTCTGTAGCAAAAACAGGCCAGGTGGCTATTGTAAATGTAAAATGAGAAAGTTACATGATGCTCCCGGCATGGTGCCTGACATGCGCGAAGTATGTCTGCAGTGATGTTAGTCCTCATTGCCATTGTGTTGCCCAATGTGTTTAGAGTAAGTAGGCCACAGAGTTGATTTTATAGGATGTGGTCTACAAATATCCTTGGAAGTGAAATAAAGCACGTTCCAGATAGTGGGGATGTGGGGAACGGAAGGGGTTTCCCTTTGTTTGTGACTGGGGAACCCACCCCGCACACCCTGTGGGACAGAGCTAAGTAGATTTCTTGGGAAGTCACTCTCGTGATAAGACCTGCCTTTTGGACTCATTTCAGCAAGTAGGTCACCCTCAGCTATTTGCCCAGGACCCACAGTGCAAATGGCAGGTGGTCAGAGAGGCATTTGCAAGGTGTGGATGAAGTCTGGAGTTAGGGGCACTGCAGCAGGTTAGAGGTGTTGGGGTTCTAGGTCAGTATCTTTCTGATCTTCTTGGCGTATCCCTTAGGATTGAGGGACAGAGTCTGTTCTGATTATTGCTGTATAACAAAATTGCTGTAACCGTTAATGGCATAACCAACCCTTTGGTGCTACTGACAGATTCTGTGGTGTACGAATTCAGACAGCGCACAGTGCAGATGAATGAGTTTTGCTCCGCAGTTTCTGGTGCCTTAGTTGGGAAGACTTGTACAGCCAAAGGCTGGACTCTGAGAGAGGCTTCTTTATTTTAACATTGGTGCCTGGACTAGAGCAACTCAGGAAAGTTTAGCTGACTGTCAGTAGGAGCGCCTACCCCTGACCTCTTTCTATGGTTTGGGCTTTTCGCACAGCTGAGTCAGGAGTGTGAGTCCAGTACACAGAGACTCAGGTCCAAGGCAGGCGTTCCGGCTGCGGGAATCCCTTGTGCTCTGCTCTGGTGCTGAAGCAGTGCAAGCCCACCAGATTCAAAAGGTCAATACATGGACTACCACCTGTCAACAGGAGGAGCATTAGAGAATTTGTGTTGTGTTCCAAAACTGCCACCGAGTCACAGCTCCGTGTGGTCTCATCCTACACTAGCAGGGCAGCTAGAAAATGTCAAAGATCCTTTTAACAGGGAGGAAAACTACTCACATCCTCCCAGCTGACTTTATTTCCCTTGTTCCCCATTGGCCAGCAATGGATCACATGGTTGTTGTGGCTACTCTCAGCTAGAAGAGAGACCATGAGACTGACTCCTTCGCAAAGGGACAGGGTTGTCAGGATTGCCATAGAACTGGTCATGATTCATCCTCCATAGCTGACAACATCGCTGCCCAAACAAAATCAGGGTTCTGTTAACAAGAAGAGCAGGGGCAGGTGGGAATGGCTGTTTGGCGGGTCAGAGTGCATGTCACAGATGGCAGCGTGAGATGCAAAAGAGACTTCTGGGATCAAATATGTTTTAGAAATGCTTCATACTCCCTCCTACCATGGAGATGTAAAATGCACGTTAACTTACTGAAGGCTCCAAAAAGTCCAGTAATAAAGAGACCTGCTTTACTTCCTGTTTATTTTTTTCACAGAACCCTTTCTGACATGTAACTTCTCTTAACCAGGATGAATGAATGCATTTTGGAAAATGGTATTAGAAAGTTTTCTTTTTTGGATGTGCTTGAGAAAAGTCCACGAGACGGTCCTGCAGTGGTGTGTGCTTGTTTTCCTGCGGTTACTTACGTCCTTCTGCAGAGCGACACCGCGTGCTTGGCACCATGATGGATGTCAAGTTGTCTAAGAGGAACAAGACAGTCGCTGCCCTCGAGGAGGTCTGAGTCAGGCCTGGGAGAAGTGAGAGTGGGCTGAGTGCCAGCAAAGTGCTGTGGGGCTCTGGTGGGCGGAGCGCACCTGGTTAGAGGAACTGGGAGGAGGGCCTTCTTGAAAGTGTAAGGATTTGCCAGGTGGGCTTGATTTTTGTTAAACGAGGAACCTCAAAGTGAATGTAACTTGGAAATCCAGGCGTGAAATCAACTATAGCAGGTTAAATACTTTTCGGTTCTTTCTTTACATAGACTGTTTGGATGACCAGGTGAGCTGGTAAGTCCTGCATTTCTGGGCTCTTCGCTGGGCCGGCAGGAAGCCCTTGCCTGCCATTTTGCCTGTTTCTTCTCAGGTCCAGCCCCCGCCCTTCCGGTGCTCTGCTCTGCAGGGCAGGGAGCGCATTTCCTAGGTTCCCTTGCCAACTGGCTTTGGGGCGTTTGACCTCGGGGAGGCACTGGCAGAAGACTCACGGAAGAGGGAAGAGGCATTGGTTTTCCTCCCTAGACCTGTCTCCTCCATGGCCTCAACTTTCATTTGACAGCCCCTTTCTCCATGGTCCCGTTCTGCTGGTCCGCTTCACTGTGGTCTGGCCCCCCTCGGAGGGGCCTTGGCCTTAGGCCCAGGAGGTCCTGCCTTCCCGCTTTGTCCCTCCACCCTGCTGTTGCTCATTTCCAGAGTGTCTCACCATCCTCTGTTTGGCTTCTTGGCCGTTCCATCTCTGTGTAAAGAGCTCCCTGTATTCTATTACTTCAATTCGATAGCTTTTTGTTTTCCTGACTAAATTTTGAGTGATGCAAAGCCCAAATGCACTGGATTGATTGGAGAGTATTGCCTAAGAGTACTAGTTTTTCACTGGTCAGTAGGACTCCGAGATCATTCATGCCTTTTCATTCATAAGAGAGAGTTGAAACACTAGTCCCAATCTTGATAAAACCCCTGAGGGATTTGTCTCCTGTTACTTGGCTGACTGAGACCTTTCTCTGTCCCTTCTCATCAATGTGTATTTGTTTTCCAAAGAAAAGAAGCCAAGCAGTCGAAGAGGACTTCACTCAGAACTTCTAGTGTGAGGACTGTTTTGGATTGTAACATTTTGGGTGAAAAGTAATGAACTGTGAAAAGAAGCAGTCATTTATTTGACCCATGCAACTCCATTACTTTTGTCATGTTAAAGGGAGGCACATACTATGTTTTCAATAAATAAATATGCATGAATTAATGCCTAAATAGAGAGAGGTACAGGTACATGGAACTCGGGAGAGGCAGAGATGTTTTCGGTAGAATGGGCAAAGCTTTCTGCCCCAGCGCACGACATCTGCCAGTTCTCCAAAGATGTGCAATAGTACTTTCTCTGCTTTCCGTTGTCTAATTAAGTTTCACTGGCTACTTAGGTCCCGAGGGAAGAGGCTATCCATGCCTTGAAAATAGCTCTCTCCTTTTAGTTAGATGGTGGTGATTAGTATCCTGGGATAATCTTAATTAGTCCCTGAGGCAGACACCCAGCTTGAAGAATGGTCAACGTGCTGTTCTTGCTTAATTTCCTTGGGTGGCTCCTGATGATATCATAGAGCATTTGTTAATATTAGGATTGCCGTGAGGGTTAAATGAGATGTCCCTGTATAGGCACTGCATAGTACCTGCCATATAATGAATGTGCAGTAATTGCTGGTTATGATTGTATTATTATCATCGTTATTCAGTGTTTATTGAGCATGTATTTTGTGTTAAGTGCTAGACGTGTGTTATCTCATTTAAACCCCACAGACACTCTAGGAAGTGGGAACTATGATCATCCTTATTTCACAGGTGAGAGAACTGGGGCCGGGGTAGGTGGTAAGTGGCTTGTTCAAGGTCATAAAACTGCTAAGAGGTAGAGCCAAAACTTGAACTTAGTCTGTTTGATTCTAAACTCTACTATAGTTCTTAAACGATACTACCTGGACTTCCACATTGCTGACAAATAAAAAGTAACATACAGTAAGCAGGCACTGAGGATGTATTAGTTGCAAATTTAGCACGGTGATTTAAAAAACCTGGTTGGTTCCCTAGATCAGCAGTGTTTCACGAGCACACCTTGTGTAAAAAGCTGTCCATAGGGAGCATTGGTTAGAAAACCAATAAATAAGGCCTGTGATTTCAGTGAAAGTCCACCGAGTCCCTCACAGAACTGTGAATCAAACATACACATTACCTGACACAGGCTGATGTTCCTGGACCTGGGAGAGAAGGCGGAGGAGCTGCCTGTAGGTGGTTTGTGCACCTGTACCTGGTTCAGGATGCAGGGCTTAGTATCTAACAGATGCTACCTTCAAACTTTGATTTCACCTTTCTGCAGTATGACCTTGGGTGAGTGTCTCTACCTGTTTGAGCCAAAATGTTCTCATGCATAAAAGGGAGAGAGGGATGGGCGCTTCACAGGCAGACTGCGAAGGCCCTTGTTTCTGATACAGATATGTGTTAAATCAGTTATCATTCTTAAACATATTATTGTGCAGGGGAATGTCAGTACCCTTAAAGCAACCCCAAACAAACGAACAAATGGCCGTGAGCTTTTAGATTCAGCACGTGTAGACTTCCTGCGAGGTTCCCGGTTCCTGGGCACCCTCGTCCCCCGCCTCCATGAGCCTTTGGTTATCTGGCAGATGCACAAAAGGAAATTAATTGCATGTAGCTGCCACCATGAAATACCCAGAAAGTTACCTCTTAGGAAAACCAACACTTCCGAGAAAAAGTGAAGACACAAAGTTCATAAAAAGAAAGCTTTGTGACTAGCCCGTTGCCCATCCTGAAGCTCTCTGGCAGGGATGTCCAACCTTTGGGTGTCTCCAGGCCACACGGGAAGAAGAAGCGTTGTTGCCTTGGACCACACATTAAATACACAAGCACTGATGAAGACTGACGAGCAAAAACAAGGTTTTCAGTAAATTTATGATTTTGTGTCGGGCGGCATTCCTAGCCTTCTCGGTCTGCATGGGGCCTGTGGGCCACGAGTTGGACACCCCTGGATTTGCTGCACTGACTGAATTACTAAATCAGTTTCTGAAATGCCTCCCAAAGGTGAGGTTGATGAGGACAGAGGAAGGAGCAGCTACAGTGGGTGGAGGATGCGGGGGGAGGGGGGGCGGGGAGATGGGAGAGGAGGCCGTGCTCCCCGGAGCAGGGAAGTCCTGCAGGCGGGCTGAGGGCGGAGCATCAGGGCTCTGCGCTCCTGTCCATAGGGCCAGGACTCTGAGCTTGAGGCCCCGTCACCTCATCCTAGCAGCTTCCTGTCTCTTTTTTTATACCATTGATCCAACTTCAGGTCACGATGCTTTTCCGTTTATGAAGTAACATTCCAGAATATATTTTCTAAGACATCCGATCCATTGAACATGCAAAGTCTAAGACCTCTGGCTTGTTAAACTATGTTAAATTCATTTATTAATGGTTAGTGTATTTTATTCTAGAAAGCCTTTTTCCCCCTCAGTCCTGTTTTATATAATATAATGAATTGCTTTGGCAAGACAGTCACATGATGGAAATGGAAGCCTGGTGTGATGCAGTGACATTTTATGAGTTTTTAAGGGGATCCAGTGTCTGATGTGAGAGACAACGGGAAAGGGAAGGGTAAATGGGGCAATTTCTGGTCACCCAAGGGCCTGATTCTGAGGAGGTTATGCCTCTAAGGCCGCCAGATTTCACAGGTGATAACATGGGCCTTTTTAATAGTCGCATAGAAATGGAATTCTGCTAAAAGTGAAACAATATGGAGAAGCCAAACATCAAGGCTTAGGTTTAAAGGAAGAAGCATCCTCGTCAGTCTGGAGAGCACTGTTTGGGCGCTGTCCCCTGCACCACCTGTGTGACCTACGACGTCTGTAACATTTCAGTTCCTTATTTGAATAAAGGTACTAATGCAGTCCTGTGGATTGTTCTGCCAACTGTTAAAATGTTTCACAAATGTTTGGGTGGCTACTTATGTTTGTATATGGACACTGATGAAATGATCACATTGAAATTTCTTTCTGTGTCTTTGAGCAAGTGATTCAACTCTTCAAATGTGGTCCATCAAGGCTAATATTTATAGAGGGGAAAACCCCTGCTCCAGTGGTAAAAATACGGATGTGAGGGTTGGAGAACTCCACTTTTATTTCTCCTGCTTTCTGTGCAATTTGGAAAGCTATGATCAGGTTTAATTATTTACTGGAAGAAAGGGATGCTGGAAGCCACAAATTGAGATTTATTTCTGTCACATCTCAGATATTCAGATCCTCCTGATTGACATTTTACAAGATTTCTGTTTGTTAATCACTGTGGCGTTGACTTGCCCTCATTTTGGGAGTAAGGCAGGTAGACGAGGTGGGTGTCCAGGTCTCTTCAGCACGTGGTGCTCCCTGCGCAGGACAGGGGCTTCTGCCGCAGCAGGAGCCAGGGTGCCAGGCTGGCTGGAGCCTTTGGAGGGGGCTGAGGCTGCCCTGGATGCCTACGCAACAGTGTCTTGAGATGGGGCTCCCTCTGGGATGGAAGGTCTGCTGGAAACACTTCGTGACACTCACCTTGTATAATCAGGAACCTTTGAGATGTGCAGAAACCTTCACCCCTCAAGCTTCTGGGTCTTGATCATTGGAGGGAATCAGCTAGTAGGAGGCCTTTAACCAGAAGATAACATGTTCAGGAGAATCTCAACCTGCGTTCTGATATGGTCACTGCTGGGTCTCTCTCTTTCTCTCTTCTTTTCTCTTTCTCTGTTCCTGTCTGGCTGTTCCTGTCATTCTTCTCTCTTTGTTTTTCACTCTCCAGGTGTGTTCTCTTCCTTGCACTTCTTTTCTTTCCTTCCTTCTCTTTTCCTCTCTCTGCCGTCCTCACTCTCTCTCTTCTCACTTTGGGGGGAGGGCAGGTTCGGGGGCTACAGGATCTGCCTGGTCGGGTGTGTTGGCCCTTTCCTCTGATTCCTCTTCATGACTTTTCCTGGCTCTTCTTGACTCTGGCCTGAATCTCCCTGTCCAAGGTGGGCACATGTGTTCCTCTCGGAGCAATGACCATGAATTTTCAGTGGCTGCTCTGCTGAGATTAGTTTATCCATGAAAAGCAGAAGACAATTTATTCATCATCTTCTTCCACAAACCCTGAAGGTGGGCAGCTTTCACCAGGGAACTCTGCTAATAAGCTTTAATCTCAGTTGTGCATATATTCTTTCTCCTTGATGACAAAGGCTATTGTCTTTCTGATTACAGATCGAGGAGACTCGGCTCAGCATTGATAAGATCTCTGAGCACGTGGAGGAGGCTAAGAAGCTCTACAGTATCATTCTCTCTGCGCCAATTCCAGAGCCAAGTGAGTGTTTGCCCAGAGCTGACGCACCCAGTGATGACCTTTGGCATTGGGGCTGAGCCAGTCTTGTTTTTCCTTCCCTCTGTGAACAGCAGGAGAGTGTACGTACCCATTACATTCCACCGGTGTCACGTTATCTCATCTCCCATCCTGCTGTACCTTGTCTGAGCTCACCCTGACCAGCTGCAGTCGGCTCTTGTCTTCATGGCCCCACGTGATTCATTTAGCCAGACTTTCCTTCCCCACTGGTCATTCTTGTGACTAGCAGTGACTCTTACTGCTTCTTACTTTCCTCATCTCTGCCCCACCTCGGCCCTGTGGCTTGTGCGATCTCCTCTGCCTGAAATGCTTTCCCAAGCCCCGCTTCCAAGTCTTCCAGGTCAAGTGCGTGTTCTCAGGAGGTGCTCCAAAGTGGTTCAAGTTCACCTCAGTCCCTCCCATCACTAGTTTCCTATTTGTTACCACCACAGAGGCAAACTTATCCCCCCTAATTATCTCACATTTTTAGAGTGGAATTTGGGACTATATCTTAGATTCCCTAAGTACAAGGAACAAGCTTGATACCATACTTCACTGTTCAGATTTTTCAGTGACGCTCTATTACTTAAAGATTAAAGCTGAAACGTGTTAGCGGAGTATATAGGAATCGCCTTGACCACATTCTTGCCACCCTGCCCCATGTTACCTGCACTGTAGCCAGACTCAACTCTGTTCCCCGAGTGCCGCGTGTCCCCACAGGTCTTTCACACACTGTTTCTTCTCCCAGAGATTCCAGTCTCAGCCTGGGTGATGGGTGCCTGAGGGAGCGCCTCCCCTCCTCTGTTGATTGGTCTTTTCTCATTGTGCCTACCTGTCTTTGTTTACCCAGAAACCAAGGATGACCTAGAGCAGCTCACAGCTGAGATCAAGAAGAGGGCCAACAACGTCCGGAACAAACTGAAGAGTAAGAAGGGAGCAAAGGGAACAAGCCGGCCCCCCACCCGCCATGTGTCTCACATCCGCAGGGTCTAACTCTTCTGGACCAAAACTTAACCCGATGGAAGTGACACCACTTGCTCCATCGTTGCCTGTGGTTTGGGCACTGTCCCTGGAGTGACCTGCTTTAGCCCCAGAAGTTTGCCTGTTCTGGATCATCGGTGTGGTTGAGAGAGTGCAGAACTGGAGTCAGGAGATGAGAATGCACGTGTGCTCTCTGCCGCTGAGTGGCTGCGTGACTGGGTGCTTTAACTTAGTCCCACGACCTTTCTCTGTTTTCCTGGCACCTACAAACATTTGAATAATAATGGTAGAGATACATAGATGCAAAATATATTATTTAGTCTATAGACATTTCTCAGGGGGGGCGTGGGGCAAATATATCCCCCATTACCCCATCTCCCATTACCCCAGCCCCACCCGCTCAGTTTAGAGTGTTGTTCAGTGAAGCCAGTGTCAGAGATTCGATTCCTCTGACAGCCCAGAGAGAGAGTCTCTTAGTTCCGTGGCCACGATCTGCATTCTTGTGCCGTGTGTTTGGTGAACCATGTTCTTGGTCAGAGAGTGAAATCAGCATTGCTCAGCCCAAGTTATTATTTCTTCCCCTGAAACAAATTACAATGGCTTTTCTCATCAGGGCAGCTTCTAATAGTAGCAGTGCGAGTGTGTCTGCCACTGGGCCAAGCTCCCCTTGGGCGTTCCCACGGCATCTTCACCTCAGGACTATGACGGGGTGCCATTATTTATTCCATTTTATAGGTGAGGGAACACTGAAAGAGGTAAAGTGGCTTTCCAAAAGCCACACAGCTAATAAGTGGCAGGACAAGGGTTTGAGGCTAAGTTTCTTGGTGACAAAGACTCATGCTGTTAACTGCTCTGCTAAGATACAGTCAAAGAAGACCTGGTAATAGCAGAGGGTGTGGAATGCAAGTCCTGTGGCTCCCACGCAAGCCGACTTCTTGAGGTTGTGCCTGCCTGTTCCGTCTTCATGGGCTGGCTCTTTGAGAACAAGGGAGGAGGTTTAAATTGAACTGCGTGTGTCTCAGAAGAGAGCAGCAGGTGCGTTGCTACAGTAAACTGTCTCCTCTCCAGATATGGAGCGGCACATTGAAGAAGATGAGATCCGCTCGTCAGCAGACCTTCGGATTCGGAAATCACAGGTAGGGCCTTCTCCGGTCTAACAATCATCTAGTCCAATCTTTTATTCTTTTTCTCAGCTCAGGATTTTTTAAAAATACACTTCTTACATGGAACTCGATTGAAGAACTGGGAGCGGGGAGCTGTCCAGGGTAAAGCAGAGGTCGGGGCTGGGACCAGCCCTCCTGGCCCCTCTCTCACGTGCTGCTTCCCCTAGGAGGCCCCGAAGGACTTCCCAGGGCTCCCAGAGCGCCGCTGAGGATTTCCTGTGCCTCTTTGTTTTATAGGCGAGGAAACCGAAAGCTCTCTAAAGACTGTCTGTCATTAGCTGTCCAGTTTGGAGTTAGGCTGGTTGGTGGTCACCCAAGACATGACCCTTGTCCTTAAAGAACTGGCATAACGTTCAGGTGACATAAGGCATCGATTATGTAAGGCCTGACAGGAGAGCAGTGTGAAAACGCATAATCTAATGCTTGTGCTCTGAGCCTTAAAAGATCTCGTGAAGAATTGGGAGGAGCCCGAGCGGGCTGGGCCTTGCATGGGTAAGAGTGCCCACAGGGACGGGCTCAGGGATAGAGGTTCTCCCAAGAGGCAAGGGGACAGGAGCAGGGAGTGTGTGTGCGTGGGTGTGTACATACGTGTGTGTGGGTACATACGTGTTTGTGTGTGTGTTGGTAGCAGCAGTGGCGGTGATGGGGGTAGGGCAGCGATGAAGGGCAAACAAAGAAGGGCAGCTCACCTGGGAAAAGCTGTTGTGGGACAGTGGACGTTGAGTTTTTGGTACAGAAGGTGGCACCGCATTCCACAGGTCCTTGACTGCTTGTCCGGGGCATCTGATTATGATCGGGCAGCCTGTGTGCATCCACTTCAGGTTGTAGTCTGCTAGGAAGGTAACCTGGTAGCTACCTGAAAGTTGGGTCAGAGTGGGGAAGAGGGAGGAGGCAGGTGGGTCTTGAGTTGGGTTTTTGCAATGATTTTTTTTTTCTAAATTTGCGTGGTGGTAGTGGGTTTGGAAAAAAATATAAATATTGGTGATTTTTCAAACCAGTAAGGCTGAATGGCTACTGAGTGAATACATCAATTTTTCTAGTTAGAACCAAGAAAAGGGGGGGAGAACAGCTCGAGTAAGAACTCAGGATCTTTGGCAGGTATTGGATGCAGAAAGGGAGTCTGGCGGTGTTAGAAAGCAAGCCAAGGGTTGTAGCAGAAAAAATGCTCCTGGTCCATGTGGGTGCAGGGCTCTGAGATTCACAGATTCTCTGGTCTGGCTTCACAATCACCATATGACATCAGCAGGGCAGGTAAACAGGATGCTGGACATACTTTGGAAAGGCCAGTGGTCTCTCCCATTGCTGTAAAGTTAGGAAATCAAAAAGTTGAGTTTCATACATTGGCCTTTCAATTCCACGGCCAGTGCTACTCAACTTGGAATCAAAAGACCAATGTGGGGATGGGGATGGGGGTGGGGGTTCTACAACAGTGAGGGACCTTCCACCTCCCTCACCTCCTGCGGGCTCACTGCATTTGACGTTATTCCCACAGCACTCTGTCCTCTCCCGGAAGTTTGTGGAGGTGATGACCAAATACAACGAGGCTCAGGTGGACTTCCGTGAACGCAGCAAAGGGCGAATCCAGCGGCAGCTCGAAATCAGTATGTGTCTGAAGTTCAGGGGTGCTTTTTTTTGTGTTTTTCTGCCACGTGGTTGTCCATCCAGGTGGTGAGACCTGGGGAGAAGGTGCAGCAACCGCGCTGGTGGCCTCTGTCTCATATCTTGTGGCCAAGCTCAGGGCAGGTGTCCCAGCGCTGGCTCTTCCTGGATGCTGGTTCTGGGCTGCAAGGTGGCTCAGTGTTTATCAGGCCCAAGTGATTTTGTTCTTGTGGGAGCCAGCATTTCCTATACGTAGAGGAGAGACACTAAACAATTGCTCTCCTGGGGACTCGTGCTGTTTTTTGCTGTCTTTTTGATGACGAAGAACATGTATGAAATGGAAGGCGCAGCGCTAGTTGCTGTGAGGAGCGGTGACGTCAGGGAAGCCGTGGCCTTTAGGAATTGAGTAACAGGGAATGCAGGACCCTGTGGGGCGGCACGCCCTGTGAGGGGAGGGACCGAAGGAACAAGGACGTAGTCAGAAAAACGCAGGTGTATTTAGGAGTCGCAGGTTGTCCAGGGCCTGGGAAAGTGTGTATTTGGGAGTAGCAGGGTGAGATTCACTGGGATGGAGGGAGGGCTCACCCAGGAACCGGCTCCTTGTCCTGAGGGCCTTGGACTCCCTGGCGTAGTGATGGGGCCAGTAAACCTTCTGAGCTGGGACGGAACGTGGTCAGGTGTACGTTTCAGGAAGGTAATTGCTAATCACGTTAAAGACGAGTTGCATCAGGGGAGAAATGAGAAGGCAAATGAGTCAGGAGACTGTTGGGGGAGTGTTGGGCAGGCCGCGGTCTTTATGGTTGAGTTACCAGAGTCTTCACCTCCAAAGAACTTTTGAAATGGTGTGCTTTGACCTGGTATCTGATGCTCTCCTTTTGTTACAAAGCCGGCAAAAAGACAACAGATGAGGAGCTGGAGGAGATGTTGGAGAGTGGAAACCCTGCCATCTTCACTTCTGGGGTGAGTGACTCGGGAGCTGGGCTGCATGCCCCTCTGTAGAGGAAGGAGGTCCCTGGGGAGCTCCATTCGGGGAGCGAGGGAAGGGCGGGCTGCAGGTGCAGAGCGGCAGGGGAGATGAGGGGCTCAGCCGGAGGGTGTGTGAGGGCTTCGGCAGGTGAATGGTGGCTTATGGCCTGTCTTTGTATGGCCGCTTGTAGATCATCGACTCTCAGATTTCCAAGCAAGCCCTCAGCGAGATCGAGGGACGGCACAAGGACATCGTGAGGCTGGAGAGCAGCATCAAGGAGCTTCATGACATGTTCATGGACATCGCCATGCTGGTGGAGAATCAGGTAACTGGCCATGGGTACCAGTGTGACCGGGAGGAGAGGGATGCTCGGGTTCTCCTGAGAAGGGTGAGGAGGGGCCTGCTGGGCGCCAGGTGGGGCGAGGCCGGGCGAGGTGGGGAATGATCAGAATCAATAATGGAGAAACAGAATTCCAGCATCCCAGGGAAAGGAATACACTCTTGAGCCCTGACACATGGGGCAGCCTCGGCCTTGTCATTCTTTCCTGGCACTTGGGCCTCAGAGCCATTTCTAGTTAATATGGGGTTCAATGTGTCTGTCAAGTGCCTAGTTAGTTCCCTCCAGACTCAGGATGTATGTATGTATGTATGTATGTATGTATGTATGTATGTAAGTAATTAGAGATTTGGTCTCTTAATGATGATGCCTTAAAACAGTCCCCTGAATGAACTATTTCACTGGAAATAACAAAAACATACGATCTTTTCCCCACTTAACAGTGAAAAGTTAGGTTTAACGGAAGTTTTAATTTTTTTCCATTTTTGTTTTTTATTCTATATTTGTTCTTCCAAAACTGTTGACACTTTTTGATCAGGAACAAGAGCAGACAGCACAAATGAATGAAGGAATAGCACAATATTTATGTGAAAACTCAAAACACTCATGGTGCTTAGCTGGACGGCTTGTTTCATCCCTAGGTAGACTTCTCAGGGGTGTAAGTCTTTGTCACTGTGTGTGGTGTTAGTGCCACATAGTCAGACGGCTCTCAGTCCTTACGATGCAGTCGGACACGGCACGGTGTCCTGGTGTCGGGCCACCATCACTGTGAGCCTGCAGCTGCTCAGCCAGCTGGAAAGGACTGAAAACCATTCCCTTGGGAGGAGGACCACAAAACCCAGCCGAAGCCCCAGTGCTGCCTGGCTGGCTGTTGATGTCGGTTCCCTGCTCCAGGCTCAGGTGCCTTTCCTCCACCCCTCCTGGCCTTTGAGACCATGTTTCTAGTCCCTCCAGCCCCACTTTTCTTTCTTCTCCCCACACTGCCTTGCCGAGGAGCTGGTTTGAGAGTCAAGTGCTGGTAAGTGCCTTCTCTGCACAGAGACTGCCAAAAAGCGATAGGTCAGGCCGAGGAGCGTGTAGGGAGGTGAGGGGAGTTCCCAACCTAAGATGTCAGAAATTAATTGGAATGATACAACTTCCTGTCAGGAAGTAATTGCTGGGAAGTGGTTGGGAATCTTGTTCAGAGACGGCTGTTCTCAGCCAGATAGCTTGGGTGCACCCAGTGTATCACTTACGGGGCCTGGGAATCTCTCGGAGAAAGCACATGTTCCCAGCCTCAGATGTTTATTGAGATCCTACGGTGGGCCAGGCACTGTTCTGTCGTGTTGAACAAACTTAGCTCAGGACAAATGAACTTGGCTCAGGTCCGAACTGCTGGGAAGAGGCCAGGATCCTGGTAACGCCCTAGGAACATGTAGTTACCAGGCATCTAGGCGGCCCCAGGTGACCAGCCCAGTACCTGTCACAGATAAGTTCTTCAATGAGTGGCCACCAGGGACTGGGAACTGTGGGTAAATCACGGTGGGGAAAGTGGAAGCATGCCCTTCGGGAGGCCGCATATCACGATTTCTGGGTGGACCTCTCGGCATTGAGGTTTATAATGTGGGGATTGCTAAGACTGTCCTGGGCGGGGGATGGTTATCGAGTGTGACTAGTGTCTGTTCTTTGCAGGGTGAGATGTTAGATAACATAGAGTTGAACGTCATGCACACAGTGGACCACGTGGAGAAGGCACGGGATGAAACTAAAAGAGCTGTGAAATACCAGGGGCAGGCCCGGAAGGTGAGACTCTCCAGCTGCCTTCAGAGAAGAGTCCATTTTGTGCGCTGTCTCTCGCTCTTCTTCCCTCTCCCTCTCTCTTTTTCTGCTGCTGCCACCTCTTGCATTTGGGGAAAGGGAGCCATGATTGACCGTATTGAGAACAACATGGACCAGTCAGTGGGCTTCGTGGAGCGGGCTGTGGCTGATACCAAAAAGGCCGTCAAGTATCAGAGTGAAGCTCGGAGGGTGAGCGCCTCAGTCTCAGCTGCTCCTACTTGCCTCTCCTCTCTCTGGTCATCCCCACCCATGTCCTTGAACCTGTGCCTTCTCTCCCTGTCCTGGCCTCATCCAAGCACCTGCGTCGGCCTTTCTTAGAGACTAGCCGTCCTTCCCTCCCAGGTGTGCCTTGCATGGATCTGGCTCCCAGGCTCTCACCCAGGAACCCACACTGAGCGCAGGTCTGTAGCATGGATGTATTGCCCGGGCGTTGCTCTTGGACAGAGCTCATCGTCCTTTCAGGTGTTACACTTGACGACTCTGTCTACAGAAACCTTCTCTTCATTGTCTTCTGCTCCAGCAGCCCAAGATGTGCCCCACTTTTTCTCTACCATGAACCCAGTGCTGTGCTGGTTGCTATGTAAACACCTTACTCATATATCTCATGGAACACCTATTATTTCTACTTCAGAGATGAAACCGTTGAGGGTCAGGGGTGAAGTATTTCAATAATTGGCTTCAGGCCACCCCCTCAGCATAGGAGCTGGGGCTCAGGCTCAGATTCCAATCATGCCTTTTCCACCACACCATCCTATCTCCCCCTTCCTGTTGGCGGCCCTGTTGCTGGAGGCCTTCCAGCTTCTCTGCCCACTGACTGGTGGCCAGCTCTGGGGCTTTTGCTTTTTAGACTGTTCTTTCCTGTTTCTCCTGGGCTCTGATATATTTGTCCCTTAGTTCCTTGTTTTTCCTCTCATTTTACTTATTGCTTGTGCAGGGATTTAGGATGCGGGGGAGTTACTTTACGTGATGGACCCAGGCTGGCTCACAATAGGACCATAATCATGTTTTAGTTATTGGGACGGCCCCGGGGGCCATCAGGGGCTGGTGTACTTTATGGGAGAGATGGACAGAAGTTTGAAATTAGGACTATATCAAGAACATCTTTACACCCCCTCTCAAAAAGGAAGAATGAGTCACTTTATATCTTGACCTGTTGCTATTTGGTGGCTCCATGATAGTTGCTCTTGTGTCTCTCCGCTTGTGCAAGACCTCAGTGTGAGCCGTTCGCTGAAACTCTGTTTCCATTGCTAGCCAAGAAGTAATCGAGCAAATATAAAATATCCCAATAGAATGTGGTCATGGAGAGATGTAGGCTTTTTTCGTTGAACTGATAAGATGCTTTCAATGTTGAAGTGAGAGGGGGCTGGGTGTTGGATGACTTGTTATTTATTATTATTGCTCTTTGGTTGTTTGTAATAATGACTTTTGTTTGTTTCTCTTATCCCTCTCCAGAAATTGATAATTATCATTGTGGTAGTAGTTGTATTGCTGGGCATTTTAGCATTGATTATTGGACTTTCCGTTGGGCTGAAATAAGGGCGGCCCGAGAGGCTGCTGCACTGAAATGTAAGTAAACGGAAGGTTCTTGGGACTCTGTTTTGGCTTCTTCTTGACAAATTCGCCTGGGATTTCAAATTCCACTTCTTCCACCTTGTGATTGTCCTTGGACACACTGAGCTCTCTAAACCCTTCAGTTGCCTGTGCATTTTTTCATCTCTTTGAAATTGTTCTTGGGTTCTGGCTGCAGTCCATGGGTTGGGTCTCCTGTTCGTTCCCATCCTGTGGATTCTGCCCCTGCTCTTGCCTTGTAATGTATTTCACCACCATTCCTGGCCTGTCTGAGCACCTCATTGCCGCTCTCCTTCCCCAGCAAGCATGCTCCTAAGCTGGGTACTGTCTGGGTTTTGGATCTGGGCTTTGTCTTCTGAATTCTTACTGGATTTCCTGGATGCTGGACTTAGCTTTTGTCTCTTTTTCAATATAAATGAAGCTTTGAATCGGAAATGGGGTCTGTAGGGATTTGTTTGTGGCTGACTGGTTGGGCTGAAAATGATTTAGTGGTTACCACTGTTGAGTGTTGAATTGTGCCAGATAATATACTAAACACCATATACACATAACACTGACTCCTCGCAATACCCTTATGAGATAGGTGTTATTATCCACATTTTGCAGGTGAAGACACCTTGGCTTAAAGGAAAGTTAAGGAACAGTACCAAGTTTGAACACACAGGAGGGTCCTTTGCTATATCTCAGTTTCTCTTTGTACAAGGTAGCCATGCACCATTGTCTATGAAGTCTAGAGGACCTTACAGGATAGTGACTTTAAAGTTTAGCCTATTAATTTCTTGAAAATCTGGTAGAAAGACTAAAGCTGACCCCCGAATCAGGATTTCATGTGTATAGTGGTAACATGATAAGAAAGGCTTAGTTATTGGGACTGTTAAAACTTAAGACTGGTAAGTCTGTGACTTCTTGAATATTATTTTTCTTAATAAAAGACAGTATTTTTGTTTAAAAACCCATAAAAAACAGAAAAGTTGAGGAGAATTAATGTTTAATACTATGGCTGATAACCTTGTGGCATATTTACACACTGAGATCTAGTTTTATATAGTCCTGATTATGGTTTTCTAGTTATAGTTATCTATAGTTTTTTACCCAGTTACAAAATTATAAGCATCATTCCACACCACTAAAATCTCTTTGTAACTCTGATTTTCAGCACAAGATTGTGAATATAATCTCAATTATTTAACATTTTCCCAATGTTGGAGGTTTGTTATTATTATCCTACTATTACTAACAGTATGACTAACATATAATAGTTTTCTCATTTTTATTGTCTTTATTACAAATGCAGAGAAGTTGGATTATTGAGGTAAATAGAAATATTTTTAAGACTTGACACTAACTACCATATTGATATCCAGAGGTAATCCTTCACTTTATATTTCTTTCCTCCTCCTTCCATGTGACTGGAGGGCCAGAAAGCCACATCATTACAGCACTAAACATTCACCTTCCTCTGGAGAGATAGGCAGCAATGAGGTGATTACTCTTGAGTAATCAATTGATTGGTTCTTCCCCCCCGCCCCCCGCCCAGAATTTGGCATCTAGCCCTTTGTTATTATTATTTTTTTTGCTTTTAAAGTTCAAGGTTTGTTCAGACCCTCATTAGAAAGGATGTTAAAATTAAGCAAAGGCATAATAGTTGATATCTTTCCATTTCCTTGGATGAAAAATTTCTTGCAAATTCATAATGCCCCTTATGATTCCTAATTCCAGGAATTCAGAATGTAAATGAATCATTTTTTAAAATGAGGAGACTCATTAATATATTATTTTCAGCTGACATGCTCAGTTACTAAGCAGTTGTTGAGTTGCTCACCATGATGTATTCCCTATTTCCTAATGAAATTGGGACTGATTGTTACTAGGTCTGGACTCCTCTGCCTCCATGTGACCTGAGAAAGAAAGGTATCTGAATAGGAGGGAAGGAAGACAACCTACATTTCTCTTCCCTAGTTGTGTAGCAGTTACTGCTCTCGGAGGATAACGTTACTCCTTTTTCAGACAGGAAAGTTCTTTGAAGCTCAATAAAGTTAAGAAACTTCCCAATGCTATACAACTCATGAGGTGGAGCCACCATAATAGAACCCCTGAACTTTTCCATATTCTTTTCAGTGTGCCTTTCTGCCTTCTAAGGAAAGTGGAGTGTAAGGGGAATCGTGGAGAAGATTCGAGTCCCAGAAAGCTTCTGAAGCGTGTATTTGAAAGGGCTGATGTGGGCCTCACAGAGAGAATAGGTTTTGTGTGTGTGTGTGTGTGTGTGTGTGTGTGTGTGTGTGTGTGTGTGTGTTTAAGATTTTATTTAATTTTTAGAGGCATGGATAGGGAGGGAAAAAGAGAGGGAGGGGAACATCACTCAGTTGTCTCTTACATGCACCCTGGCTGGGGATGGAACCTGCAACTCAGGCGTGTGCCCTGACCAGGAATTGAACCGGCAACCTTTTGTTTTCCGGGACAGTGCCCAGCCAAACTGAGCCACATCAGCCAGGGAGAGAGTAGGTGCTTCCCAGAAGCAGTTGTGCCTCCCCACTGACAAGCCCTTCCATGAGGACGTGACAGTTTGTGTGAAGGCTAGAGAAGACCCAGAGATTTTTTAAATTTGCCTTCTGATCAGAGGGCTTTGCTTCTTCTCAGTGGGATATTTAATTTCAGTTCCTGTCTTGGGTGTGTCTGTTGGATTTCTCAGGCTTAGTGTTGACTTTCCCCATTATTCTCCTTTTTCCAGGTATTTCTGATTTTTCCTCTCTACCTTCTAGGTTTGTGGTTGATTCGTAATGTTGCTCTTCACTGTCACCCCGGGCACGGATCAGCTCCCCCTTCCGCTGCCTCCCTTACAGCCTGATTTTACTCCTGCCTGGTGTGGCCACCTTGTCTTCCGATGGGACCGGAGATCGGATGGCCTTCCTGAGAGACAGTGGGGCCCATTCCTTTGTTTCCTGTAACCATCCTGGGACCTGGCCCAGCAAACCATTTAGCCCTGGGGGAATCTAATCTCCCTGATGCAACCCTGAGCTTCCCCCAAAACCTCCTCTCCTGGAGTGCCCGAAACAACCTGGCTTCTCTTTCTTCCCTCTGCTGTGTCAAATTTTGCCTCTCACCTTGGAAAAGTGAATGATTTGAGACCTTCCCAAGGTGCGATATTTTCTACCTCATGGAGTATTCCTCTCCCAAAAATTGCATTGTACTTTTTTTAGGAGGGTTTCTTTAACAAAGCAAAGGGATTCTTCCAAGTTATGGCAACAATAAGCTTCTACCTGGCAGGATCCCAGTCCTCACAGTTTGTTGTCCCTATGTCCTGAAAATATGAGGGAGTAGCAGATGTCGTTTCGGTCCGGGAGCTGACTTGTTTGAAACTCAGCCTTAAATTAAGCTCTTAGTATGTTCAGTCTGGTGGCCAACTTTGATATTTGTCTGCATTGTATTCTCTCATGTTTACTTTAGGAGGTGCCAGCACGATGCTGTCATCTGAGGGTGCCGTTTGCAAAGCCTGAGAGTAAGGGATATTTGTTTGCATGGCGAGTTTGGAAACTGGTCGCTCAGTGTTAAATTGATACTTTGTGAAGCCGCTGCCTTGAAGCCAAATATGTTTTGCTTAAAAAAATTTTTGGCACTTAAAATTGGGCCAGGAGCAAGGTGCTTAAGTCTCTGGCTCTGGAAATGCTTCAGACTGGTGCCAGCATTCAGTCACTCATTTCATGTGTTCCAGATGAATTTTTATAATTGTGTGTGATATAGATATTTTCATGTGTCTTACATGAAGCAGGAAGCTAGAAGTAGAGGACATTATGACCTCAAGTAAAAAATAACCTTGACCTAGGCTAAAAATTAGGTAAGAGACATTTGCTTACGGGCAAATGAATCACAGTAGAAATATGATCTCCCATGTCATCAAGACACCTGCTGGTTCTGGATGAGCTCTGGGAGAATCATAGGTCTTTGGGGTGAGGACCAAGTTGATCTCCATTATGTTTTTCTGCTTAGCAGAGAGGTGTGCCAAGTTCTGACACCTCTCCCTACCTGCTGCCAAAGCTAGGCTTGTCCCGAGAACATCCCAGAGCAATTGGATATCATTTGTGTGACCTTGAATGCCCTGTCTCCAGGGCTGAGTCTGTTGGGGGACACCAGGGACTCCTGAGTAGCTCTTCCTTCTACCAGGTTAATGAGCTTGACCGGTTCTTTGTCTCCCCCAGTTCTTGTCCGGGAGGAAGCAAAGCAACAGCCAGGGCATTTTCAAGTGCAGTTGACTGTGCTGGCCCTGGGGGTGAGTGTTCGATTCCCTGCTGGTCTCTGCCAGTCTGTCTGGTTTATTAACATATTTCTGCATTGATTTTAATGCTTTCTAAGACAGGGTGAGCACCCTCATCCAGGCACTACCCACTGGTTTCCTCTGCAAAGGCTGCTTACTCCCAGCCATCACCCAGCACTTAGACGGAGCCGAGGGGACGCCCTCTCACCCACGGCCATGAGGTCGACGGGGCCAGCCCCTGCAGCAAGGCCGGACAAGCTCTCATCGCAGGCTTTGCTCTGCCGAGACTGAGGTCTGGGGCGTATAGTTTGGAATACAATAAGTGAAGGGTTTTGTCATTTGTATGTTTTTTAAAAATGTAAACTTGATTATTTTATTGCTATTTAAAAATAAATGACTTTATATTGATTGTGAAACAGTTCTGGCTCTATTTCCCTGCAAAACACTTAGTGATTGAGTGCCACCATGTGGTGGTTTTTGTTTAGGTTCTGCAAAGAGGTTTAAATCTTTTTTTTAAACATGTGCTGGGTCAGGTGGATCAAAAGTTCTAATTTTTGAAAGCAGGTCAACTCTTAGAGTACAGTGTAACTGTATTAGACTTCAGGGTTAAGGTGCTTCCCCGCAATAGAACGTGGCCCACTCGTCGAGCACTGGCTCCAGGCGGCGATGGGGTAAATTGGAGTGATAAGTGTCTAGACGGCGGAAGAACACACTAAACAGCTATCGTCTGAGATGGCTGTTGACTGAATTTTGACCCTCCCGCCTGGAAGTCACGTTTTACACTCCAGGTTCTAGAAGCCAGATCCATCTCCCCTTCCCTTCGCATCCTCTCCCATGTCCAGATCCATGCCGCCTCCCTTCCTTGGGAACTCTGTCTGCATTGCACAGTGATGTCATTTCTCATGTGCTTTTTCTTTCCTCGTCTGGATAAGCAGAAGAAGATCATGATCATGATCTGCTGCATCATCCTTGTGATCATCTTAGCTTCTACCATTGGGGGCGTACTTGCCTGAAAAAGGTGAGCCATCGGTGGGGAGAGTCAGGCCTGCTTTCCTGTACCTGCAACGCTTGTGTCCTGAGGGCATTCGTTGTTCGTCTCCAGGTGCCCTAATTTGGGTGGGATTCGGTGTTGGAAGAGGTGAAGGTTGGAGAAGGCTAAGAAAAGAGGTGCTTCCTAGTGAGAAAAGTGAGCGAAGAATGAGTTGGTAGTAGGTAGACAGGGAGACAGGTGGCAACCTGTGTCATACCAGGTCTGGTAGCAGAATGCTTTGTATGAGGGTGTTGATCTCCTGCAGCAAAATTTGGGTCTTGTCGTCTGGGAATGGCCAAAGGATAAAGAATGGGTGCTTGCATTAGGAGCACCCTGAGCTCTGGAAGAGGGCCACACAGTACACTTGATGTAAAAATATTTTCTCCTTTAGCAGGTTAGGACAATTAACGTAGCCTTGTGAGTAGCCTTTCACCTGTGCAGAAGAGGGATTAGTGGTCCTGATCTCGAGCGCCTTGCTGTATAAAATTTGATTTTTTCCCCCTCCACTTTTCTATTATCTCCTTTAGCTCTCACAGCTGGATCCATGACTGCTATTTTTAATCCTCCTTCCACCTCGGTGGTGCCATCACCTCTCACTGCGGATTCCTCAACAGTGGCTCCTCTTTCCATTACGAAACCTCTTATGACACAGGGCATCCACCAACTATCTCCTGAAAGTTATGTAGAGGGAGGCTTATGACAGTACAGAGTTGGGTGGCAGGCAGGCAGGCAGGAAGGAACGGGGAGTACAGAAATAACCAGGTTGTCAGGAAGACGGTTTAAAGGAATGGGCTGCAGGGTAACAGGCACCTTGTTCAGGACATAGAGGCAGACAGTGTAGCACACCTGAGTCATCATGGTCTCGTGTTCGCTGCTGTAAGCTGGTCAGGGTCAGGGCACTTGCTACTTCCGCTCTTCAGGTTCTTCTAGGTCTCACCCTTCAGCAGCCCTACATCTGCTTCCTCCTCCAGGGTCTACTAGTCTTCAAAGTGAGGTGTTCAATGATGGGCACCACGCGTGTCTTTCTCAGTGCTGTGTCCTCAGGGTGTAACACAGTGCCTGCCACTTACCGGTGCTCCACTTTGTTGATTTAATTACCTGTAATTAAGATCTGATTTTGGCTCATGGACAAGTCCTGGAATTTGACCCTCGAACCCTTTAAGGCACCATTGGAAAATGGTTTGTTAATATTAAAGGCTGCACAAAATGCCTGGAAGGGGTTGATCTACTTACGTAAAAATAAAACAGGACCCCTCTTACAACCGCTTACACTGTAAAGTCCTTTCTCTGTGGGTGGTGATGGTGGAGTCCTATCAATAGCCTCTCAGTCTGCTGAGACGGCTGGCCGCAGGACGGTGGTTCAGTAACTACACATGGACCCAAAGCCGAAGGAACAGGGTGACAGTGCAGTGGGCCGTGCGGCAGTCGGCAGTGGCACGCTCTGTGGAGATGGCGATGTTCGGTCAGAAAGGGGAGGGGAGGCTGTCGCTCACATCGCCTCTTACCCGACTCATGTTGCTATAGCTCAGACTGCCCTTGTTGGCCAGCAATGTGTGCGCAAGGAACTGCCCCTAATTCAAGGTTCATGTTTGTTGTATCCAAGTCAGGAATGAATTGTATTACAAGAGATTAACTAAGATTGCATTAAAAATAGTATACAACTTTTGAGGACCACACAACTGTTGAGATAAATTTGTACTTTTGGAAGAAGTTACTTTCTTTGCAGCAGAGATCTTTTTAAGAAAGTGGGATAAGAGTATTTGACATTTTAGTCAGTGTGCCGTCCACCCACTTTCAAAAACAAATGGTTTACTGTTTCTATCAATTTTGAATTTCCCATAGTTTGAACAATGGATACACAGCTATTGCTGGCTAGTTCTGAAAAAGATTGATCTTGGTAAAGGCAAGGAGGGCACTGGAACCACGGGGCCCTCATTTGTCCAGCAGTGACTGAGCGTGGTGTGGCACCCTGCACTGTACAAGAACCCACAAGGGACACAAAGATAGAGCCACTCTTCCTCCTCAAAAAATTTCAGATCTAGGAAAGGCCACACAATTTCAATTCCGCCCCCCAGCCCTCCATCAGTTCCTTTTGCTGAAAGGCAAGTGCGCGTTCCTGGTCACACCGTCCAAAGCCCCACCTTTGGAGACGGAGAGACGATGGGTGGCTGGGCACAAATAAATATCTGTTGAATTAATGTATTTACTGTCGTCTTTTTCCTTTGCTTTCCCGAAAGTGTTTGTTTTTTTAACTAGTGAAATGTCACAGAAACTCGCTTCTGAAGTGTGTACATGTAAAAATGTAGATACTAAGTCTGGCTTGCACTGGAAGTGGGAGGGGCAAACTGCTGTAGCCCTGGAGGTGCTCGGGAGGGCCAGAGCTCCCAGGAGTCCGTCGGGCCTGTTTCGTCCTCACTGAAGGGATTAAGAGTGACTGGTGAGAAGTTATAACCTGAACTGATACTCAGATTTTATTTAATATAAATATAATGCACTTAGAGAAATCAATGGGTGTCGTACAATTTTTCAGAAATCATCTACAGAACTTGGTTCTGACATCAGAGCTACCCAAAGACTTTCGGGGTGGGCAGAGGAACACAGATGTAGTTTCCTTCTGTCATTTATTGCTCATATTCTCACTACACACGCTCAGGCAGGTAGAATTTGCCCCAGTATTGCCCCTTCTGGGTCAGATCATAGGGGCTCAGTACCTTCCGTATCCCCAGCATATTGGCAGTGGCTATGCGCTCAAACGTCCACGGGTTTTGGTTGTTACGTTCTCGTTCCTCTTGATCTTTCCGCATCTTCTCTAGCATCTCACGGCTCACGGCCTTTGCTGGGAAGGGCAACTTGTGGGCAACTTGGTCGAGGAAACCTTGTACCTCTTTGAATTCACAACGTCCGCCCATCTCTACTATGAGGCGGCCAGTCTTCACAGGAGTCACGTAGTGATCAATGGCACCTTTGCCTCCCCCCATGCGCTGTCCCATACTCTTGCGCGTGATGGCCTTGAAAGGGGCTGGTACTCGCCATAAGGCAAACATGTTCTTGGGGTCCATAGAGCGGTTGATTGTCAGGCGCATCATTTCGAAATGGCCCCAGTGGAGGTAGCCACCGCCCAGTGCCTAAAAGTGAATGGAAGAATTAGAAGCACATGGGATTTGGACATCTTTTATGGGCTCTATTCTTATGTCTTCTTTTATAGCAACTGTGGCTTCAACAATACTCATGAAAATAAGAGTTCTAACAAGTACCATGGAAAGCCTAGGACCGAGTAATAAATGAGAACAAGGGCGGACCCACTACATGGATAACTAGGAAAGGCCTCTTTGAGGAGAGGTGACATTCAAAGCCGAGGCCAGAAAGTAAGAACCAGCTAAAGGAAGAGAGACAAGTGTTGCCGGCAGAGGAATGGTGTAGGTGAAAGCGTAAGGAGGTGGAGAAGCCAGTGTGGCTGAAGTAGAGTGAGGAGCAGGGGATGGGGGTTGTGGACATGAGGTTCTGAGAGGGAGGCAGGGGCTGATCACGCAGGCTGTGGGGAAATAAAGCCTTGTCTATGCCACGCATTTGGGTAGCTACTGACATCCAAGTCTTTATGGAAGCTACTGAGTAAAGGAACATCTGTCTCACACCCTAGATACTGAGCAGTTTTACTTTTCCAGAGGCCTGAGGAGATCTCATAGTCTGACTATGGAGTAAATTAGGTAGCCTCTTTTTTCCCTTGCTTTTACATTATTTTCACTCTACATTAAAAAAAAAGTCATAACTCAAATGTTTACTGGTTATTGCACATCAGTTTAAGAGCAACTGGTGGCAGTTTTAATAAAACCCGTGAAGGCAGAGACTCAGAGTATGAGACTATGTTAATCCCTGGTTTCCACCCTATAGCTGCTTGATGCTCAACTCAACTTACCAAGATTGCAAAATTGCCTTCTGTGAATTCAGTAGCTTCAGTTGAAGGTCCCCGTATGTCACGCAAGCTTTTGGGTTCTCTTCTCACTTTTGGCACAAGTGGTACCCTTTCAACAAATCTCAGCTTTGGCTTTTCAGGAATGGAAACATCTAAAAGGAGCACAGACAATTAAGGATAAATGAAACTATACATCTCAAAGGATTCATTCTCTTCCTAGAAAGATTTGTAGCAACCAGGTGAAAGTCTTAAATAAAAGTTACTATGGAACAATAATTCCAAAAGTATGTTAGGTTTTTCTTGTGAATGCTGTTACTCATACTGGCGTCCTCTGAATATGACAATGGTTAATGTAAATGTTGTTGAACCTTTGAAGATAGCAAAGTTTTATCTTTCAAACCCAAGTGCATTTATTTTTAAAAGCCTACTCTTGGGCCTAATACTCTAAAAGGGACCATTGGGACAAGACAGAGATAAAAGCCTTACAGAATAACACTAGCCAACGTTTTTTTTCCCCCAACACCTTAGTGCTGGAATTGAGCTGAATGCTTTACATACCTTATCTCATTTAATCTTTTAAAACAACTTTATAGCCTTGGTATTTTTTTAGGGCTTCCTTTTTAAAAGTTTTGAACTTTTTAGTTTCACACACCTATATCAAAGGGCCAAATAAAAAAAACGTACACCTCAGTGAATTATCACTAAGTGAATGCTTAAACACATCCACATAACTATCACCCAGATTAAGAAACAGAACATGAGGCAGGTCTTAGTTTTAATCTGCATTTTATAGACGAGGAACTGGAAGCCTAGAGACAGTTTATAATCTCATCTAGGCAATCCAGGTAAAAATAGCAAAGCCAGATAGTATGACACTTGAAAAACAAAACTACGCTGCCTCTGGATGTTAACAGGGTAGCGGAAAGAATACTACATTGTACACAAAAATACCTAACTTCTGCTGCTCTGCCACATTCGTGTGGGGCAGCTTCCAACCTAGGACTCCTGCAATCAGTGCTCTTTCCCCTCCTTAGGCAGGGGTTCTTCGTGCACAGACTTGCACATCCCCGAACCCACGCAGCACCTGGCTGGGTGAGGGTGGCTCGGCGGAAACGTGGGTCGGGGCACCTTACATCTTTATCATGTCTGAGGTTTGGGGGGGTGGGGGGAATACATTTGTAAATCATTTAAAACATTTCTCTAGTAAAACTAGCATGGCTCTGCGATGGAGTCACATATAAAACAGGAGCCTTCAAGGAAATAGCAAATTATTAATGGGCTATTCTGAATTACAGAAACTGACCCCCCCCCCCTTACCCCAAGTTTCTGTGTGAAGCTAGAGAGAAAGAGTAATGCTTTCTCTGGCCTACAGGCCCACATGTACTTCCTGAGCATGTAGTAGTTTACTATGGGTAGCAGACAAAGCTCTCAGAGGTCCAGGCCCCTTGCATTTTTGAGGTTTCCAATATATTAAAAATAAAGGAGGGGGGAAATTAGATGCACAAAATTGCGGCTTACCTTCAATATTTACATTTAACAAATTAATGCTTTTCACACAATCTTGTTAAGTGACTGCATACATGTAACCTCACTTGGAGGGAACACCCAAAGTCTAAACTTGAGGCCCGCTAGCCCCAGGTGAGGGTGGACATGGGGAGCTATCCCATTATACAATTTGCTCCCTAAGAGCACGGACCTTTGTGGATCTCTTCTGTTCTTTAGTTAGAACACGGCTTGGCATATATTATGCCCTCAATACATGTTTACTGAATGAGTGAATGGAGATAGAAGGCACAATAACACTCTGTCTTCACCTACCCTCTGCTGGGTTCCATCAGACAAAACGCTTACAAACATGAAAATGACAAATCAGCTCTCACCCTCAAAAGTCGGCACCGGGAGCAGCGTCTTCACGCCAGCACAGGCAGGCGGGGCTGCCCAAGAATCTGTACAAAGACAAAGCAAATTAAACGAGGACGGCGACAAGGCCAGGGTCAGATGCACTCCTGATGGAGGTGTCTTGAGGGGTGGGACGCAGGTTCCACTAAATGGGTTCGCAGGCTCAGGCGCCCAGAGAGCCCAGCCGAGGTCCCTGGGCGCCAACCCCTACAGGCGGCTGGGACCCTTTTGTACGAATCTCATGGCAGGAGGGGCGGCAGCAAAGCGCAGCCCTTAGCGGCGCTTTGGTCACCATCTGCAGGGCCTTCCTAGAGTGTGAGAGAGAAAGGATAGGGCATGGGATGGAAAAAAGGAACTGTCTGTGGGACTAAGCGGACTTCTGACCTGATAAAGGCACTCGCAGGAGGGGCGCGCTGGCGCGAGCCAGCAGACGCCACATAGTCACGCGTGTCCAGCCGCGCCGGGCTCCCCGCAGCGACCACGGAGGTTACCTTGACCCAGAGCGTGGCGCCCCAGGACCGTGTTGGAATTCGCTCTTATCGCTCTCCGTCGGGCCGGAAGTTGCATTTGCACAGGTCCCTTCCGCAAAGAGTCCCCACGGAAGCGGAAGAAACCCGAGGCTCTGGGCGTCGGTACCATTGCGGGCTCTCACTGGTATGGAAGGTCTCGGCGCTTGGGAATCTGCGTCCAATCTGGGGTCTTTTCCTAGATGAGGATGGCCGGATGGAGAGTTTTCTCTGCGGATTACGGTGCTGAGAAAGCCAGGATTCACATAACAATTCACATGTTCTGTTAACCTAAAAGTAAAAAAGTCTAGGCGAGAGGCAGTAGCCTTTGAGATCCAAAAAGAATTGTAATTCTGCGAAGCGCTGTTTTAGGCCGAAACCCAAATCGTGTTTAAACTAGGAGGTGAAGGCAAGGGGTATTTATGACAAACGGAAGGAATAATTACACGAGGACTTTCTGTAGGTGCAGAGAAACGGACGCAGTGAGGCTACTTCTGAATGTTTCTAAATTTCAGTTCAGTGGTTCCAATGTCTGCTTTCCTGTTATCTTTGCAAATAGTTGTTTGGAATACAAAGCTGCTGTAGGCCCAGTACAAAGGTCATTTTGCCTGGTTTTGACCTTCCAAAGCTTTGAGGAGTAGAAAGTGCAGGGCAATTCATCTGGGATTTAAGCTCTGACTTCATTTAAAAGTGGCTTCCTTCATATTTTACAGTTCCTTACAATTCACTACACTACACCACTCAAAAACTGATTCATCATTCTATTAACATTTACTGAGCACTTGCAATGCGTCAGGCATTTAGTCCTCCCAACAAATCCACAAGATAAGTCATTACACTCATTTTGTAGATTCCATTGTGAGCAGCAAGGATTTAATTGTCTCAGGTTCACAAACACTGCAATCAGAACTTGAACACAGTCTGTGTGACTCCAGAGACTCCAGTGAATGGACAATATCATAACTTGATGCCAAGTTAAAATTGTAATTACTCCAGGAGGATGTTGGATAAATCATTTATGGGCCTAAAGCTTTTTAACATGTAGAACAAGAGAGGATCTTTTTCTAAGCTTCTAGGACACAAATGGGATTAGCAGATTGCGACAGATGTCCATTGTAGCTAAATCAAGCTAATTCTGTGTGTGGTCTTTCCCAGGGATTAATTTCATAAATGGCAAAAAATGAAACCTGTCATGCTTGCAAAGCCACTGGGAGAACTCTCCCTATCCTGAATTTTATGCACTTCTTGACCATCTGCGCACTGAATCTGCCTCAGAGTTAATGGACTTTATTACAGCCAATCATTTCTGTCTCAAGAGCATTTCTAAAAGGGCCAAATGTGATCTCCCAATCACCTCCAGCCAGTGTCAGCTTCTGTACAGCTCTTCTCCGCGCCGCTGAAAGTTGGAGATCCAAAGATGCTTAGGCATTTAAAAACCTCAAGTGGAATATTATGTAATATCGTTCTGGGTGAAAAATAAAGTGGCAGTACAATCATTTTTTATTGTACTCTGCGTCTTTGGTGTCCCCAACCTCCTACCTCATTGTTTATTGTAAAAGAACCAAAAGCTAAAACAAATGTCTACATTTAAGTCGTAACTACATTAATGTCTACTGTTTCTTGCAAGAGTTGTATGAAGTACAGCGGAAGATGCAAAGATGACTAACAGTGATACTATTACTGAGGAATTTACATATGTAGGAAAAATGTGGTGAGAATACAAATAGGTATATTGTGTATCAGAAGTGTAAATAAAGGTCTGGGGAAAACTGAAGGGGAGACCTGAGGTCTTCCCTGATCCCTGAGAATGGTTCTTCCCACCTTCAATTTCTCACAGCTCTTTAGTTTCACATCTCATATTTTAATGGTAGTTATTTGTAGGAAACTGAGGTTCAGTGATTAAATGATTTGTTACACAGCTAATATGATGCAAAGTAGGAACAAGAGCCTTGATATTTTTACTTTTACTAGAATGGGTTTGGTAAAATCTCCCAAAAGTTGATCTTCAAACCCCCTGCATCAGTCTTTCCTGAGACTTGTTTTTATTTTCTATATTTATTATTTTATTTTATTTGTAAATTAAATTTATTGGGGTGATATTGTTTGATAAGATTATATAGGTTTCAAATGTAGATTTCCATGATACATAATCTGTATATTGCATTGTGTGATCATCACCCAAAGTCAAGTCATCTTCTGTCACCATATATTGGCTCCCTTTGTCCTTTACTACCCACCATCCCCCAACCACCTCCCCTCTGTTAACGACCACACCGTTGTCTGTGTCTATGAGTGGGCATAAAAAAATGAAAGAGAAAGCTAAGAACCATATCCTGACACCTTTTTAAGAAATCTAAATGTCCGGTCCCTATTTTCTTGGCCAAAATTATTCTTTCCTTCCTTCTTCTTCATCATAGAGCCATTTGCAATTCAGAGCAAAATTCTTTGCTATTTCAAGGAATGATAAAGGTTCAGTTGGAAGGGGCTAGAGAAAGTAATGTGCTTACTTCCACTTCCTTATCTGTGCTTTATATTCAGCCATGTACCTGCTCTAGGTCATCCATCTATCTGGTTAAAGGCAAGTACAATTGCATACAATTTTTAATGAGCAAAAACGTACTTAGTAGCGATCATCCCTCCTTTGTCCGCTGCATCTTCACAAATTTGCAGAATTGACTGCTCCCCTAAATAAAGTTTAGGCTTTACCGGTCATGGCCAGTAGAGGTCACAAAAGCACTTGCTATAGTCACTGAAACACCTGAAATGCAGTCTTGGGCATTAGGCCTTCTGCAATAATGACCACCGGCTGCATTTTATTAAGGCACTTCTTGAAGCGGACTTACAACTTGCCATAGTAGATTCCTGATCAATATCACACCCCCGTCTCCTGCCCCTGCAGATGCAGATGAACACACACAGTTAACAAGGCACGTGGCTAAAAGAAGGTTTTCATACATGAAACCAACCTGTGATCCCTCTTCACTGTCTCCCACGCTGCTCTTATTCCTCCAATTTCTATCATTAGAGCAAAAGTTGGGAGCAGGACACTTTTTTTTTCAATTATAGTTGATCGATTATGGTATTACAGTTGTCCCAGTTTCCCCCTTTGCCGCCCTCCGCCCAGCACCCCTCACCCCCTCAGGCAATCCCCGCACCATTGTTCACGTCCATGGGTTATGTGTGTAAGTTCTTTGGCTGCTCCACTTCCTACACTCTACTCTACATCCCCGTGGCTAGTCTATAACTACCTATGTGCACTTCTTAATTCCCTCATGTCTTCACCCATCCCCCACACCTGGCAACTATCAAAACAATCTCTGTGTCCATGATTCTGCCTCTGTTCTTGTTTCCTTAGTTTGGTTTTTTTTTAGATTCAATCGTTAATAGACATATATTTATTGCCATTTTATTGTTCATAGTTTTGATCTTATTTTTCTTAAATAAGTCCATTTGACATTTCCTATACTAATGGTTTGGTGATGATGAACTCCTTTAGTTTTTTTCTTGTCTGGGAAGCTCTTTATCTGCACTCGGGGGCAGGACTCTTGTGCGCTTGCATGCGTGCATGCACACATTAGTGCTGTTGCCTTATTTATGATTAAATAAGAAAAAAGTCTTTGTTTAAAATATTTTTTTCCATTTTCCAGTTGTTCAATGATTATGTACTGAGTGGAGAAAACTTAGAAAACAGAGAAGCACATAAAACCAGTCACCAATAATCCTATCACACAGAGACAACCACTATACCTCTCTGGCATAGGTGATATATAATGTTGTGTCATCTGCTTCCTTCACATGAACGTCTTTTCATGTCAGCAAGTGTTTATTTTCAACATGAGTTTTAGTGACTTTTAAGTATCCCATCATATCTCCTCTTGGACATTTTTTCCGTGTTATAAACATTACATTTTGTTATGTGGGAGTACTATTCACCATTCCCTAAGGGTTCCTTATTACAGTAACAGTCCTGGACTTTTTGGGGGTATGGTGACTTACCTGTTAGGTATGTTTAGGATGGGGACCTAGGCCTGTGTGGGTCACACCTCTTTCCTGGGAGTGAGACTGTTACCAGAGAGCAGGCTCTTGCTCTGAGATGCAGGGGTGGGGGTGGGGAGGGAGACCTGTGATAGGTCTGTTGGGTCTGTCTGCTCTTGGGTTCAGCATTTTATATGTTTATATACACTGCGTATCTAAGGCATATATATGTTCTGTAACTGCATATCTAAGGTTCATACTTTAATAGTCCCATCATTTTGAGTCTTGTGTATCTGTGTCCACTTATGATTCCTCCTGTTGTATTTTCAGAATTGGGATTTTTGGGGGGTCAAAATTGAGTATATTTTAGGTGTTTTGATTCAAATTTTTATATTCTTTTCTAAAAAGTTTGTGCTAGTGTTGGCTCTTACCAGCAGAGATTAGTTTTGTGATTGCCTTTGAAAGCTTTCACATACACGTATACCAGCATACATTGTGGGTTTATAGATATATCCGTATTTACTGTATAAAAATTATATATGTCATAGTTATATGAGGTGGGATTATAGATGTATATCTACATTTACTATGTAAAATATATTAAATTTTATATTAAATCTTAAATATAAATTATTTATGTTAAATGTATGCTTCTATATAAATTATATAGAAGCATACATTTAAACTTGAATTTACCCAGAACAAATATTGGAAATAGAAGGGGAGAATTATGACATTAATATAGTTTGCTTCAGTCTGAACCATATGGGAGTCTCATATGAAGTAACTTTGGCCATTTTATGTATATAGGTATGTTTACCTGTTCGCACAAATGATTAGGAAAGGAGTACTTAGTATATGAAACAAAAACAGGAGTTATTAAAATAAATCACTTCATTTGTAGAAATAAAGGAGTGCGTTGGTTAATTAATCAAGCTCAGAATGATCTCCAAAAACATTAGCCAGATTCTCTCATCTCCTGTCACCTCGGTTCGAATAATGACTGGGGGTCATTGCTTTTGAGAAGCCGGACTTTGTTTTCATGGGTCACAGAGGTTGAGACTCTAGGGAAGTTTGTATCATTTATTCTATACATGGTTTCCATGTTTTTCCAGGAATATGGTACCACTGTAGATGTCCACTGTTTTGCATAGATTTGAAATGATGTGAAAAAATTCCAGCCGTCCTCCGGAGATGTTCAATAGAACCTGAACCACCTCGTCCTTAGTACTGGGTGAAATTGGCTGTGATGTGCTCATGGTTGACGGGTACGTAGTCAGCAACTCCTGGAAACAAGTAGAGAGGGACAGGAGGTCACCAAGGTGCATATACCCACCCACTACCTCCCAAAGGATCAGCTTGTCATTATAGAAGTAAAATCACTGCACAGTGAAAGTATGAGTATGAGAGGAGCATTGAATTGAGATTTAGGGAGTCCTTGTTTCCAGGCTCCAGGTGGCCGTGTGGGGCATGTCTTTGGCCAAACCCCTTAAACCGTGTGAGCCTCATATATAACATTGCACAAATAATTTTATCCTGGATTAGAAATAATGACTACTAGATGCCTAATATAGAACCTGACACATAAGTGTTCAATAAATGGTGATTATTATGAAAATGGCTTAGTGAAGCCAGATTTAGAGCATTCGGGGCAGGAATTTATGGTCACTTTTGATGTTGTTGAGGATTTTTGTCTGTCAGGGAAGGAAAACTGGATGATGACAATATTGATGGTTGGCTTTGGCATCAGAAAGAATGACAGTTCCAGGCCCAAGTCTTTTTGGATCTCTGAGTCCTTTCTGTTGACCATCCCTTCCCTCAGAGAAGAGTAACAATTGGCACACATGAGAATAAACCTGAGTTAAGGGCCCTGGGCAGTTCTTGCGATGAAGGTGGCAGGGGAACTCATGCTAATAATGATTAGCATTTTGGACACATGCTGTGCAAAAGGCATTGCACTTACTCATTTTAAACACATTATTTCTGATCCTCACAATAACCTAAGAAATGGTGATTACTATGCCCATTCTATGGCTGTGGAAACTGGCTCAGAGAAGATTTGTTACTTGCTAAATGCAACTAGTAAGCCAGAGAAAGAGCTTCTAATCAAGGCCCATGTGACTCTATGATCCTTATTACAGGCTTTGCTGCAATTCCTCAAATTCTGATTGGCTAGATTTTGTTAAATATATGATAGACTCTGAGGAAAACATCTCTCCCATTGTAATCTTGGGTACTGAAGCATCTTCACAGAGCACAGTCTTGGCTCTGCTATGACATTATTTGGCCTCATATCTGTCTGCACAGTGACAATATCAGATTAACCAAAACATCATCCTTAGACAAAAACTACACACCATTGCCCCTTTTGTGGGAGGATATTTTAGTTTTTGTGCAAAAATTTTAAAGAAAAAACTTTTGCTGAACTCTGGGATTTATTTGTCCCACTTTCCCCACACAAAATGCATGTACAGACATTCATCTCTTTGGAGATTTAAGAACAAAACAGGAAAGCCAAGGAAGGTGAAGAGTGAGTTTTGAGGGAAGTTGTGGTATAGAGCACACTCATTCTGGACTGGACTATTTGCTCTGTCACATTGCTAGATGTGTGCCTTGTACAAGTCCCTTTCATGTCTCCAAGACTTAGTTTCTTTCTCTATAAAGAGTTGCTAATACCTACAGAGTGGATGTGTGAAACAAGAAAATGTAACATCACTATGCAAATGGCTATTATTCTACCCTCCTATTTATTTACCATTGGCTGTGAATTCACTGTGCTTCTGTTTTATAATACATGTTTAAATTTTTAGTTCCAAGGTGGCTGTCTTCTTAGATCACATACTACTTTATCCATCTTTCTTTTTTCTTTTTTTGTCTCTCTCACATTATTTTCCTTTTGCTTCTTTAGCCCTTATTGTTTTAAGTGGCTCAATCCGCTTTTCTTCTTCACTGGATATTTTCCCAGAGTGGAGTTGGGATTCCGGATTTTTTTTTAAAAAGCTATTTTAGATAGCCACCCATTCTATCGCTCTACCTATTCACTACATTTATATTCACAATATACTTATATATGTATCTACATGTAACCACTGTATATATAATTATTGTATATGCACATACAATCTTATAATTATTTACTGATTAAATAAATGAATTAATTAAATAAAGAAATGAAACGATGTAGCCCTCAAACTACAGAGGAAAGACCCGCCCTCCTTTCACCCTCTCACCTTCATTCAAAGGTGTCGTGCCAGTAAGGAACTGCCAGAACGTCCTGTGATTCACATTTTCACTGATGTCGTTGATAGAAGAAACGACAAGGCCCCAAGATGTCATTGTGGTCTCAAACCTGTAAGTGTAAAATCACATATGTGACCAACACCTCACTTTAGGTCAGGCAATAAGGGGTTAAGATGAAGGGAGAGAGGCATTGAAATGCTTTAAAGATCAGGTAGAAACATGCTTAATAGAGAAAATGCAAACGACTACAAAATATGAAATCACGTAGAATCAAATGAAATTAAGATGAATGGACTTAAAAGACAGTTATCAATAAGCAAATTAAAATGTGTAAATGTCTAACAATGGGCAAATAATGAGGAGAGTGATGGAATGAATGGCCAACATTGGATATTTTGCAGTTGTGAAAATTACATTTTTCAACAATTTTCAGTGACACGGGGGAAGGCTTATGCAACAATGTTAAATGAAAATGTGGGATACAAATTTTATATGAAATATTTATTTATCTCATGTATCTAGTGGATCACAACTATTTGTAAGATTCATAGAGAAAAACACCTACAAAATTATAAAAAATAACAACAGTGATTATATTGTGGGTGGACTATAGAGGCTTTGTTTTCTTCTTTGTGCTTCCCCCCCTCAAAATTTCTATGTGTATTTTTATTACATTTACAGTCAGAAAAAGAAAAATCAGGCAAAATTAAAGTTAAGCTCAGAGAAGTAAAACATACTCAGAGGGTTGTTTGAAATGAAGTATTCTTGAAATGCTATTTTTACCCTGACTTGTCTATAGAAATTAGGGAAGTTCTAGAGCTGGGCTGTGGGCAGCAGACACATGACTTGACCTTTGGCCTTTGTCAAGTTTTCTCCTTGACATCTCTCTGCAGAATTTGGATCATGTCATCTTTCCTTTGAAACTATCACCTCCTTTCCTTTCCATGACAGACATTTCCCCTTTACTCCTTCTATAGCTTAGTTTTCTTCATATTTATCTCCTGCTTTCTCTTTTTGCAAATTATAAACATTCTCCAAAGCTTAATTTTCTCCTCTGTGATTCATTCCTGTGTTCTGCTCTTCCCCAGCAGGACAGTAGAAGGAACATGACCTTCTGAGTCACTCAACTTTGGGATCAGATCTCAACTCTATTAGTTACATGTTATGTGACCTTAGGAATATTAGTTAACCTCTTTGGGCCTAAGTAGTTCTGTCTATAAAATGGGAATAATTAGATCTGTCCCTTGGTTTTGTGTTCAATCTCCTTCGCCTGTCCTGACCTCTTTTTCTAGAACTCCCTCTATCCTCCAAAAGCTTCCTAATGTTTCTCTTTCAAACATCCACAATTAAAAATGTCTAGGGGAATTGTCTTTTTCTCTAAAAATCATTCTCTCTCCCAATACTCCTGTCCGTAGTGGTGAAGCTTCCTTCTCCTGACCCCCACATCCTGTACTCACACAGCCCTGTGGACTCCTGCTTGCTGAGTCCATTTAGCCGAGATGAAGTCTCTTCACTTTACAGCTTCATTACTGTAGTCACTCCCGCCCTAGCATTTAACATTTTACAACATGGCGTGTCCTATTCAAATCTTGCAGTGCTTCTGTGCAATATGAAGTCCAACCTCCTTAGCCCGGTATTTCAAACTTTTTATATTATCACTATAAAGAGTTGCTAATACCTGAAGTTATGAGATAGATAGTTACCCAATCTATCCTTCCAGGTGCAATTAAATCTCAAATTCTCTTCGCTAGCCAAGCTGGCCTACTCATTGATCTTGAAATCCTTGCCCATTCCTGTCTTGAGTGCTCTCTTCTAGCCATTCCCTCTCCCTGGATCCCACCCTCTCATATTTTCCTGTATGGTACCTATTCTTCGAATGTGATCCAAAGCTCTGAGCCTTCTTGATTATTCTAATCCACAATGGACTCTCCTTTGACCTCCTGTTTTTAAAACTCTATCATATACTAACTTGTATGATTCCATTTTTCACGAGAGGCTGCAGGCTCTCAAGGAGCCATTAGATAACAGTCCATTAAATTATGAGAAGGGAGAAAGTTAGCAAATGAAGGAAAGAGGGAGAAAAAAGGGGAATTCAGGTTAGGCTTGGGGAGAATGGCTAGCGCCACTTGCAGTGCTCACTTGAACACGGGATTTTTACGTTGTGCTTCTTCCAGGACCACAAGGAGCACAGACCCACTTCTCACACTAACGTTGGTGGTGACGTTGAAGAGCAGCTCCACCCCCCTCAGCTGGTTATTGACGGTGTACGTGACAGTGATTTCGGATGCTGAGGTGGGGCCAGGGCTAGGGTTGTTGGGTAGAGTTGGCTGCGCCTCATGATCTGTGAAGAGGAAAGAGGCCAAATTAGTTAAGGATAATGGGGTTTGTATTAAAGGTGCAAAATCTCTGTTGTTGGCAACCCATCCCAGAAAACGTTTCAAGAAAGAGCAGTGAGTTTGTGGGTTGTTCTGAGGAACCGGTGTGATCTACGAGCTCTCATTTCCAGTCGGGAGAACTGATCATAGCTGAAGCACTGCCAACTAGTTTTACAGTGAACACTTATTTTGTTAAAAGAATTTGCAACTTGAAGGGAGAGTTGAGAGCCCAAAATCATGTATTTTATGTGATACTCACCCTTCAGTTGTGTTTTTTTCCTAACCCTAAGAATCTGAAAGCAAAGGTAGTACCTTTCAGGCTATTTAACAAAGTACCTGAGCAGCTATTGTGGAATCCTGGAGAGGATTAAAGCTATTTTAATATGTTAATATGTAAATATGTAAAATATAAAGGGCACACGCACTAGTCAAAGTCCTTCCCCAATATGCAGATTAAAGCACCTTAAAGCTATTTAGAGCTTTAAGACCTGGTTGAAATGTCAACCTTATTCTTCTCCTAAGCCTCCCAGACAAACTCAATGATTGGTTACACTTTCTTTGCTTTTGCACTGTATATGGGCTTTTATATCAATTTAATAGTTATTTCATTCTTCCAAATATTGTGGTTTTTGTCTACCTATTTGTCAGCTGGCTTTGCAAAGAGAAGATATGATAAGATACTGCATATCTGGTATATTTGTCAAATGAATGAATGAAGTTACATGTTATTTGTTTGTTAGGGTCATGGATCTTCCTTTTCTATCAGCATCTCACAAAATGCTTTGCTGTAATAGCTACTTCCTAAATATGTCCTGAATGAAGTAGACACGAGGGTTGAATCCTGAGTGTAGGGTGGTATATAGCTGTGTGTTTTATCACACAACCCTCGGGAATTGGAAGTCAGATGTGGTTCCACCTGCATGAAAGTAACAGACATAAAAAAGCCTGTGTTCCTCTTAAAATTGATCCACATAGCATTCCTGACATGAGTAGGCAGTTTATGACATGAGGAGAGACAGATGTTGAGAGTTCTTACCAGGGCTGCAAGACACGTGGGGCACATCTAGGTATGTCTTGCCTTCCAGGGAAGGGAGGATTTGGGCAACAGACATGGGGTTGTGGAATTTCCCCTGCTTAATCTCATTAAGTATTGCATCCATAGTCTTCTTGCAGTTCCACTCCTTGTTAGGTTGCTTAGGTGACACGGAGAGAGCCTGGGAAGGGAAAGGGAAGGGAGGGAGGAAGAGGGGCGAGGGAGAGGGCGGGGGAGAGGAAGAGGGAGAGAGAGGAATTAGGCATACTAATTGGCCTTCATGAGACGTATAGGGGATACAGCTGATCATTAGTCTCTGTGATCACCTAGAGTCCAGACCGAAGCTGCATAGGAAGACCATCTGTCTTGTTCTCTGCTGCATCCCCACCATGTAGTTCAGTGTCTGTCATGTAGTAGTCACACACTTAGATTTAGGGAACACTATTAAGGCTGCTGTATTTACTAACAGTTCTTGGACAGAATGAGGACAAGAGCTGGGCTAAGCAAGCTCCGGGGGAGCATCAGTCTAGGACAACGTGACCATCTAAACACAGTAGCCCTCTTGTGTTTAGTGTTGTCCTGTGCACCCTTTGGCGGACTCCTCCCACACTGTGTGATTATGTTGGGACTGTCAGCCAGAGGCTCCACCACCCTGCCACAGGGGTGGACTCATGGCCTGGACTGGAATAATCATGGAATGCCATCCTCTGGGTGACAGTGATTGGTGGGCACATGCACTAGTCAAAGTCCTTCCCTGATATGCAGACATTGGGAAAAAGAAGCATTTTTTCCTTACGGGGGTTATTCAGCAGGTACCATGTAAGTAAGCACTGAGCTGGCTGCCAGTGACCATCTTCCTTGGCCACTTTGAAGAAGCCAAGGAGCAGGAAAGAATGACAGAAACAGGGCTGAGATGTGGAAAAAAGAGTCATCCCTAACACCGTGATTGAAGCCCTTTTTCCTGATGAATCCTGAAATCACCTAATCCAGCTCTGGACACCCCAGTTTATGTGAAATAGTAAGTTTCAATTTTTCTTAGGCAAAAATTGTTCGGGTTTTTGTTATTTGCAAAATGAATTGATTAACACAGCAAGCAATTCACTCTACTTTGCTGAGTTTTATGTCTCATGGGTAAAATAGAAACTAACTCCCGCTTACCTTTGGGGGAATCCTATAGGATGATACACAAAATCATTTTGTAATGTACGATGTGTAAGCTGTCATTACCACCTCGCTCCCTTCAGGGTTGTGCTGACCACGGCCACCGGAGTGTGTCAATGGGCTGAGATTGCTGATGGCCCATTTACCTGAAGCTTGAGGTGGGAAATGGGAGAAGGGGGAGGGGAGTCCAAAATGGCACTGTGAGCCAGAGGCAGTAGTAGGAGCCTCTTGACAGTTTTGACAGGCACAACCATCGCTGTTAACCCTGGCAAGTGTGAAACATAGCTCTTGCCAGAGGCCACTTTAGAGGACAGTATGGCCTAGGGGCATCGGGTAGGCACTCCTCAGCAACTATATCTTGTTCACTTGCCATATTCACTTCCCAAGCCCAAGTGTGAGATAACACACTATCAACACCAACACTCTAGAGAGGAGTAACGTGTTAAGCTGTGAAAAGTCATTAATAACTTTGCATGGGGAAGTTCATCAGGCCCCTTTTCAAGTTATGTTTCTATTAGAGGAGCCTTCAAAGCATTAGAATATTTGTGGAGAAAGGGGGAAACTTCTGGAACAGAGGAAATGCCTCATGAGTGCCTCAGGGATGCAACGTGGGTGGCTTAGGTCACTTGAAGGTCACTGGCTTTCTTGAAGGGGGTGAGTGAAGACTGAAAAGGAAGCTTAATGTCACCACCCACCTGCTGGGAGAGACCTCCAACAATTATTGAATATCACATTGTGTCGGTGACTTTTTTTTTTAATACCTTTACAACCTCATTATAATGAGGGGAAATGAAATTCAGATAAATTCCATATTTCCCTAAGATGGTTGAAGATCTGGAATTTAAAGCCAAGTTGTTATAGCTCTGGAGCCCTTTGGTTTTCTACACCAGAACATTTTAGAGTAGAAAAAGGTTATATATTAGACACTTGGTGGTTTCAGACTTCTAGCTGCCTGGGGAAACTCTGAAAATGGGCCCTTCAGGGATCCGAGGAGGTTTCTTATCATAACTGACAAGAAATCCATATAGCCTGTTATCTGCATGTGGATGAAGTCCTGCTGTTTGATAGGAAAAACTTTCCTTCTCAGGAACAACTTATCAGAGTGTACCCTGCAGGTGATAAAATCCAAACAGAATTCGCAGACCAAACTAGCCAGAGCAAACACTTCTTTGTCTTGTGCTAAGGTGAAGTAAGATTAGTTTAAATGAATCATGACTACACCCCATTTTCTATCCCTTTCACTCTGCCTTTGTTCCTCCACAAAGCTTTCTAGGCCTGAGCCCTGGGATTGGTCCTGTATGATTTAGACATGGCAACACTCAGCATTTTGTTCCACCGCAAATTCCATTGACCCTGACATGACGTAGAAACAGATTTCTCGTTAGTTGTCCCTATTCATGGTCGCTTGGAGCGGGGATTTTGTATTTACTCTTATGTTGAACGTGAACTATTTTTTAGTCTGTTTATGCATTTTGCTAATTTTTAATGTGTGGACCATCCATACCAGCCTCCACCCACCCCTCTTCCCAAAGGATTTCTTCCTAACGGTAGTCCAGAGGGGTATTAGATTTAGGGCTGGCATCGTAACTCCATGGCTCTCAGTTTCCTGGGCTTTCTGAGTTGGGAAGGTCGTGACGTTGTTTTTCTACTAATCCCACAGGCCATTTTGAGACTTTGAAGCACAAACTTCTTAGTTTGGGATAAAGGGTTTGGCCATAGATGACCCTTTATTTTCTGATTCTAGTTGATTATCTCTCTCCATTATCCGTAGGGTGATTTCCATGGGAAAATGCTGCCCTAATCAACCCTAAACAAGCAGCATCTTATATAATTTATACCTGGGAATCTGTACAAGGGAAGCTTAGTACAGACTTGTTACCTGACACACCTGGCCCGGTCTTATATTAGGGTTCTTTGTGAGGTGAAAATGGGATCAAGATAGAAATAGAGCTTGACAAAGATAGGATGTTCAGTCTATGTTAGGTTATTTAAATTAATTATTTTGAATACAATCCTGTTTTTTTCTTTTTCTTTTGGCTCAAGATAAAGGGTTATAAAAAGAACACTGGCAAAGTAGAATTAGAAAAATTCAATATTTTTGAGGACCTATTTTAATATCTTTTGTATATTCTTAATACATCAACCTTTCATTAGTCTATAATTACAATGAACAAATTGATCATTATTAATAATAAACCAATACATTTCTTGGGTTCATTTGTTTCTTTTTTTTCCCAAGGAAGGGAAAATAGTTCATGTAGATTTGTTCTCACTCTACCTATAAACTAGGGAGGAATGAACACTTACCTGCATTTTACTGGTAGAAAAACTGAGGCACCAGCGCCACAGGGAATCTATCTAACGTCACACTACCTGGTCTTTCCTAGAGGTATTAGAAGAAGCCTAGTCTCTTGAACCTACAGTCCAGCCTTATTGACGTGGTCCCAAAGAAGAGCCTCAATGATGTGTTTACCTGCATGGCCAGGCCAGTACTGTAGATGTCCCCGATGATGCCATTGTCTTTGATCCTCATGCTGATATTCTCTACAGTATCCTTTAGCACCTGACCAAACAGGGTTCTGTAACCTTCCTCTGATCCTACAGGGATCTTGTTGTACATACATGTCAGAGCCAAGGTCACCATTGCTCCCGTGTCTGTGAATCATAGGGGTATAAGACAACCACCACCACCATAATATGATCAATTAACATTTACTGTGTGCTTATTGTGTTCTAGGCACCTTATCTCCTTGACTCTTCAGGACAGCCTGTGAACTAAGACCTATAATTATCTCCATTTAAGGGATGAGACCATGGAGTCCAAGCTCACACAGCTAGAAAGTAGCCGTACCAGGCCCTGAACCCAGATCTGTATGACCCCACAGCTCGTGCTTGTAATTAATGTAGACTGGCAGTATATTCAATCCAGCTTCTCTTATCCCGATGTTTACCTTTCAAAAAGTGTCACTGGTTCTTGAAGGCCTAGCCATCACTCCTGCCCTGTGAAGCCTTCTCTAGTCATCTCAGCACAACAGGCAGTCTCTTTCCTGAACTTCTGTAGCATTGGCTGTTTATACCTGTTTTGCAGTCTCGGCACTCTCTGCAGTTTTCTTGTTACTGTGCTCTGTGAACTCCTGGGTAGTGGGAGCTCAGCATCCCCCATAGTACCGAGGACAGGGACTTTTCCACTATTTTCATGGGAGACCATGTGTGGGCTGAATGAGCAAGCTCTGGCATGACAAGACCAGAACAAATAAAAGTCTTGCCAGATGGCATCCTTTCTTTCATTGATTTTTCTCTCCTTATCCCCATCTCTACCTTAAAGTTTCATGACCTCATTAAAGGTAACAGACTTGTTCAAACCAATGTTGTAAAAAAAGGTCCAAATTCCCTCAACCGGCAGGGATGCTCTGGATTGGAAATGGAAGCCAGTCTGTTTTTGACCCACGGTGAGAGGGCTTGAGTAAATATCTTCCTGCTTGGTGGCCTGAGAGAGCCCGAAACAAGAGAGGCTGCTGATGCTGATGAGGCATGAGTAAGAGGGTGGAAACCTGAGGTAATGCCTTTGCTTAGAGAGCTGCCGAGGAGGAAACGTGGCTGTGAATGAGGGGCTTTATACAGAGAAGGGATCAGTAGATCCAGAAGAGTAGGCCCAAGAAGGATGAGGTGTCGGAGAAGAAAAGCGTCCGTTCACAAGCAACCATGTGCTTGCGGAACGAAGGACCAAGATGGTTCCACTGTATCCTTGAAGGGGTGCACAGTGGGCTTAGGGTTCAGAGAACCACTGTTTAACAGACAGTATGAACTTGGGTGTTCTAAGGAGAAGCTTTGAGAAGGTTAGAGTGTAGAAAGAAGCGTTAGTAGTGATAAAAGAGAGGGTTCAGGGTAGAGCTGAGTCTAGGCATTGATTTAATCGTTTGCCTGGGAGCAACTCCTGACTTGGGTGGCATGTTGATTGTTCCCAATGGAGATTCTGTAACTGCCAGACATTTCAAGTATTGTTTTGGTTTCTATGTTTTACTATTCCCCTTTCATTTATTCCTGAATTGACATGTCCAACAAATATTTGTTCAGTATCTCCCCTCTACAGATATTTTCATGATCCCCAGCTCCTCCCACTCCCACTTTTCCCTCTAGCTCCACCATTCAGTGCCCTTGATGTTCTCAGCTCAGGACCTTCTGAAAGTGGCCGCCAACTCACCTACATTGAAGGGGGAGGAATTGGCCAGCACGGTCTTGGCAAAACGGGCTGCTATTGGCAAGGTCGTCTCAGGGTTCTTCTGGCACAGTGCCAAGATCGCCAGGCTGGGCCCGTAGAAGCTTGAAGCCTCGGCATTGGGGCCTTGGGAAGGGATAGAGGCCTTCATTAGACTAACATTCACCACAGTGAGGACATTTGTGAAAACAGAAATGCCAAACCTTTTAAATAGACTTTGCTAGAATACCTGTCCCAAAAGAAAGACACCATATTGGCTGAAGATACCATCAACATTTCTTTCCTTTTCTTTTTAAAAAATTTACTTATTTTTAAAGAGAGGGGAAAAGAAGGAAAAAGAGAGGGAGGGAAACATCCCAACCACTTAACCTAGGCATTTTCCCTGACCAGGAATCAAACCGGCGACTTTTTGTTTTGCAGGACGATGCCCAACAAACTGAGCCACACTGGTCAGAGCCTGTCAATATTTCACAGAATAATATTCTGAGAATGAAATTAAAGGGATGAGGATGGAACTAAAGGGACAGTGCTGTCTTCAGGCAGGTGATGGCATGGTAGGTCCGTGGCCCTGCGCTAGTGGCCTTTTCTAGTTTATTTGCATTGGGAGTGAGTAACTCACCTATAGAATTAGCAGAGGGAAACTGAGCGGAGCTACATGGTCTCCTTCCTAACTTTCCACCCTCCCATCCTTTTCTTTCTTGGTGTAAAATTCGCAGGAAGGATCATTGCCACACTCTCCCCTCCGTCCTGATCAGGTCTTACGTGAAGGTGCCCAGCTCTCCATTCGGCTCTGTAGGATTGATACTTTACTCCCAGGGTCTCGGCAGGAGGAGGCGAGGGCCATGACGGTCAGTGCAAGCTGGCCGATGGTCAGACCTGTAAAGCCGAGAACGAAAGAGTTAAAGATGTTTTCAGGCAAGAGAAAGCACCAGGGCCGGGGCTGATTTGATTTTTAAAAAAATAACATGATTAGCTTTTTGACCTGTCTTCATTCTTAAAGAAAGAACCATGGAAAAATATTTAAAGGACATTTAGTCTAGTGGCCTCTGTGTGGCTTGACAGCTCCACCAGGAATCCTGCTCTTTGTTTAGAAGAACAGCAAGAACTCCGATACAATTTCATATGTGAAAATTCATGTTAGCTGCAAAATAATTTTAACTTTATTTTCTGACTTGAGCTTCAAGGCAACTCCTGTGAGGTAGCGGAGCAGAGACCTGATTATTGTTGTCCATGTTATTATTATTATTATTGTGATTGTTATTATTAGACGCATCTGCATTTTGCAAATGAGGGAAACTGAGGTTGAGCAGGCTCAGGAGACCTGTTCAAAGTCACAGAGTTAATAAGCGGCAGAGCCAGGGCTGGAAGCCCACTGTTTTTACCTCTCGACTAGAGTTCTTTCTGCGTTTACTGACCTCCTCTATGAATGTCCTGACGTCACACATATTTCTTTCCAGGTGTTTTCCAGACGTGTCGGGAAAGGCGTTTGAAAGATTTGGGTATAATCAGAGACAGGGTTGGTGTTGGCAGGGCGGGGGGGGGGGGGGTTGGTGTTGGCAGGGCGGGGGGTTGGGATCTGGGCTGGTGAAAGGAGCGCAAGATCCAGGGAGCATGTGAACGGAGAGGCTCTGACTTCTCACCGGCTGTGTCACTGGCCATGAGCTTGTAAGTCAGGAGCTTCTGGGCCTCCAAGTTGTGGGTGCCGACCAGGTTCATGGCAATCAGGACGCTGGGGTTGGGGTAGGCTGAGTCGGCCACGGAGTTCTCCATTAATACTTGTATGCCATTAACTAAGGGCTGCTGTGCTGGGGGAACAGCTGAGAAGAGACGAGCCATTTACAAAACCCCTCACGGTCATCCGCTCTTCACGGAAACTAGTTCCCCGTGTCTTCTTGGGGAAGACAGGATAGCATTCTAATTCTCAGGGACACCTCCTTCAGGGGAATTGCTAAAGAAGCATGGAAAACACACTGAGATTTTCTTTTGAGGCCAGTTAGTCCCTACATCTTCTCAAATAATTTTTTATCTTTAATAAACTGATTTCTCATTTGACAACTTCAAGCAATGTGGCTCACGGACAGTTCATATTATTTGTGGCCCATTTCCAGAAATCAGTTTCCCTTGCACCCATTTTTCATCTCATTCCTACATGACGAATTAATTAAAGATTTGGGAAATGACTCAGTGAGGACCCCAAATTCCCACTAAGTAGTGGCACCCGGTCAGAACAGTCACTGAGCGTCTGTTTTTATATCATCGTTCCTGTAACGCTACTTCGTTCTCTCTTACTATAGCATACATATATTAAGTCAGCAAAGACGGACTGCACACACTTGCACGCTGACTCACCCACTTTGGAACTCCTCTAGCGATTGCTATTTTCGACTACCTTCTCATCATCGGACCTCAGGGGGTGAGGGTTCTGCCTGTCCCCGGGGATCCCTGACGTCCTTGGGAAACATTCCATACTCACAGCATGAGCTTCGTGTCTGGGTGCTGGTCGCAGCCATAGCCCAGAGAAGGCTTAGGAGGCAAAGGGAAAACCAGGCCATCCCTCTCTCTCCTGTTCTGTCCACGTCTCCCCTTCAAAAACCCCAATATTATGAAGGGGGTTATTTCTCTACTTTCTCTTATATATGCTTCTCTCTATGGAACAGCCTGCCCTCCACGCCCAGCCCAGCCACTCCTAACAGCCTCAGCTGACCTCTCTCTCCCTGATAGATTTCCATTTGCTTATCTAAGTCTATTTACTATAGACCCTCCTGGGTATCTGAAGGTGACCTCTAGGTAGCACAGTCATATGAGAAACTTGGGCTGCATATGCAGTGAAGTCCATGACGACAAAGTGCCCTTTACCAGAATCCTGGGTCTTTACGCTGGGAGGTTTGATAATGCTGAGTATAAATGGGACTTCCTCCCCGGCTGCTTTCCACCCTGACAGATGACCTCTGTCCATCAGCAACCACTTCATTGAGGTTTGGGCAATTCCTAAAGCCCCACCTCACTTTATGGTTTGAAGTATGTGCCTTTCCATATGTCCTTTTAGGCTCTTAGGTAAAGATCTGCCAGGTGAAGTCTGGCTTTGTGTAATCGGTGAAGTTGACACGACCCTAGTTCCAGACCAGGCTCTTTGATGTTGTTTGACTTTAGGCAAAACAATGGACCAGTTTCCCAGAAATATTTGATGTCTCTTTCCTTATCTGGGGATGAAGTAGTTTCAAATACCAGAGGCTTCGGATGTTATCTTTTAGAGTAAGTGATTAGAAAATGTGGGATCAATGAGCTGTATTAAGTGTTAAGTCTATACAGGTGTGGGCAAAAGTGGGCAAAAACTCTGCCAAAGTGTGCTTGAGGATAGCAAGGAGACTTCAATATCTAAATGATGAAGGCCGGCAATTCGAGCACTTAGGAGATTGTACCTAGGAGCACTGTGCCACTGCGACATTCTTTTGAGTTAATGAAGCTTTTGTAATAATCACGACCTGCATGTCTTTTTCTGTATGAACAACTGTAAACCCACCTATGGCCACCCCAGTGTGTGTGCATGGGCACGCATGTGTTTGTATAACAGAGAACCGGAGATACTGTCTTACAATTATGAGGAAGGGGCTAACGTTTTCTAGTCACTGCATTTTAAGCGGCTCCTTTCAGGGTCACTTTCTCCAGTGACTACCATCTTAGAATAAAATTAGAATTCTTTTAATGACCCGCAAGGCCCTGTATATCTGCCATCTGGCTCCTTTTGTACCTCACCGCCATCTGCTTTGTCCCTTGCTCACTCTGTTCCAGCCACATAGATCTTTTTAAAAAATTAAATTAATGGGGGTGACTTTGGTTTATAAGATTATATAAAGGTTTCAAGTGTACAATTCTATGATACATCATCTATATGTTTCGTTGTGTACCCGTCACCTAAAACCAAATCTCCTTCCATCACCATATATTTGACCCCCTTTACCCTTAACCACCATCTCCCCACTCTGCCTTCCCCTCTGGTAACCACCATACTGTTGTCTGTGAGTTTTTGTTTGTTTGTTTTTCTTGTTTGTTCATTTGTTACTTTCAGGTTTATATTCCACATATGAGTGAAACCATATGATTCTTGACTTCTCCTGTCTGACTTATTTCCCTTAGCGTGATATTCTCAAGATCTACCCATGATGTCGCAATGGCAGTATTTCATCTTTTCTTGTGGCTGAGCAGCATTCCTCTGTATCATAGGCACATTGATGAGGTTGTGAGAACTTCCAGTGCTGTCCACTCTTCCCAGGACACTTGTCCTCAAAATATTCTCACAGTGGCTCCCTCCCTTCTTTCATGTCTCTGCCCAAAGCTCAGCTTTTAGAGAGCGCTCCCCAGACCATTGTGTATAAGACAGGCTCACCCCGACTGGTCCCCACTGTGCCCCTTATCTGTGGTATCACTTCTCACCATCTGTCATATTATGTGTGTGTGCAGTTCATTTATTGCCTGTCTCTTTCCCACTTGCGATACTACCTAGCTCACAGTAGGCACCGCTTATATAGTTTCTGAATGAGTGAAAACAGATATAAACAGATATAAACAGATATAAGACACGGGTTATAAAGCATATTTTTCTTTCTTGGGGAATATTAGTGGTGTTGTGAGGGTTAGAGTTAGGCATAAAAACATGCTCTTTTTGTATAATTGTTGATATTTATTAAACATGCAAAGAGAGAAAGGGAGGTTATTGATGCTCCTACCATGATTGAGATCAATGAAAAGGAAGGTATGAGGTCAATTTCCTCATGGGATTCCACTGCAAAAGAATTAGATCTGGCTGAAGAAGGTTTGAGTTTATTAGTATTTGCTCCAACGAACCTCCAAATTTTCTCCATTTTGAACAACATAACTACCAACTCCTGAAAGGAAGAAGAAGGAGAAGTGTGTTAACCGATTTGACCACCAAAGCGCTAAACAATAGATATCATTCTCCCAATTCCTGGGCATATTTCCCACAGAAGCTCACACTCTCACCTCTGAATGCTCTGGGCATTTTCCTTCCCTGGGGGTTTTTGGCGTATTCTCCCTTACCTTGGCTCAGTGGTTTGCCATCACTCAGAAGTTCCCAGTAGGTTCTTTCATTATTGTTGGCCTCCAAGCCTTGAACAGAGGTGATGTAGGGGCCCCATGAGCTCTCCACATAAGTGAAACTGTGGGGACAGTGAATGAGTTATAGGAACTTCTAATTTTTAAAGGCAATTCTCAAACTTTGATGTACCTAAGAATCACTTGAAAATATAACCCCCCAAAATGCAGATTTCCTGGCCCTATTCCCAGATACTTTGATTCTGTAGGTCTGGGCTGGGACCAGGTATTTGCACATTTCATAAACACTACAGGTGATTCTGATGCAGGCAGGCCACCATCCATGCTAAATTAGGGACATGAGGCCCCTGGTCCCTGCCCCTCCCTCCCACCATAGTGAACTCCTGTTGCCCTGGGGATATCAGAAGTCCTAAGTTAGTAGGTTTTCTCTTAAGGAAGAGAAACAGGGAAGAATAATACAATATTTCACATATGTTTACTAAAAAGTGACATGGTCAATATATGTTTCACATTCTTGAGTCACATTTCTCTATCTTCCTGGCAACACTTAAAAGGAGTCTTTATCTTTACATATATATGTATATATATATTTTTCATAAATATATGATTTTCTCTGTAGCATCTTATATCATGTTATTAAACACAATAAACAATTGTCAATTACTTTAAGAGACCAAGCAAACCATAGTTTTCAGAGACAAAGTCAATATCTCAATTTTAATACCTGACCTCTCAAGACCAGGGAACCTTTATTTGGGGGCCCATGAAATCTCCTGAAAGGCCGGGGGTGGGCATGGAGAGGCTTCCAGGCATTTGGGTAACCTCTGATTTAAATGTTTTGTGTGTATGTTTGTTTTTCTGGGATGAACATCTTATCCAAAAAGGCAGTGACTCAAAAATAGTTAAGAACCACTGTTCTAGACATAAAATGTCTGACTTAAGAAGTTCTATTTATTGAAGGAGTTTTACTGACAGAAGAGAGGTCCCTGGGACTTATTTGTCCATTCAGTTACCATGAGTTGAATGCTTACTATGTGCTAGAAGATGAAAGGTCTCACTTCTTTTTTTAAACCCCTGACTTGAGATGTAGATGGTCAGCAAAGGCATTGATTAAGATGTATTTTAATTGTACTTTGTATCCATGTACAGGTATATTTTATACTGAGTCTTTCAAACTTACACTAAATCTCTTAACCTTAAACTACGTACAGACGTACCGAAATACAGTCTCATTGATTTCTTGAGCTCTCTTCATCACATCCAGGAAGAAAGAACCATTTTCCACGGTGACATTGGTGAAATACGTTTCATTGATTTTCACAGTGTAATTGACTGAGATCCATGAGGATGAGCTATTAGGTTCTATAGGTAGAGGCTCCTGAATGGAGATGTTAAAGCTACCTAGCAGAGACAGGAAAGCAGGGAGGAATTATTATTTGGAATAATAAAAATGATGTTAGAGTTTGCACACTTATCCAACCTCTATCCATGAACTGCTTTCCTTTATGCAGAAGGGGATTTGCCACAGGAGCAAGTGGCAAAATCAAGGGGCAGATCTCTCATGTGACTAAAGCAGAAATTAAAACCAGGTGTTCACCAGTTTGAATGCTTGTGTTCACCTCGACTCCCAGCTATTTACACAATTCAGTTGCTCACTCTCCCATTTCTCATGGAGGCTTCTGTTTTCTTTCCTTTTGCTACAGCATGCAAGAATGCTTTTTTTTTTTTTTTTGCCTTTTTATTTCTTAACATTTATGGAAAAAAATATTGTGCCAGGCACTGTATTTGTCATGTTTCATTCAGTCCTTACAAAAACCTACATCAGATACTATTATCTTTTGCATTTCTTATATTAGAAAATTGAAGCTTAGAGGTTAAACATTTTATCCAAGTTCTCGAAATCTGTCAGTGCCTGAACCAAGAATGAATGTGATAGAGTAAGTCTCTCTATCCTGTTGTAAAATCAGTTGTTTAAATTAATGATTCATGCTGCAATTTCTTACAATACTGCCATATTCCTTCCACACAGACATCTTATTTCCCAGAGGGATCACTTACTATGCTTAATGGAGAGTCAGAGATGCCATACTTTGTCTAGGATGGGAAGATGCTCAGAACATCTCTCTGTAGCCAGCAATCAGAAAAGTTCCTTTGGAGATAGACATCATTTCATCAAGTCTACCTTGTTTATCAATGTTTAAACCAAGAATGACATCTACTACCCTGTTAAGAACAAATCCTCAGGTGGTTTCAATCTCTGATGTCATATCAAGGGGTGAATTCTATATGAGAACAGTGATGCTGTATTTGGTCACTTTTGGTCCCTAAGGACACCTGAATCTCATGTGCTTTGGGTGGTATGCTGAATGTCAAAAACATTTTTCTCTTTAGTGTTATACCTGAACCACAAGAAGAGCTGTTGTAAGCATCCAAGTAGGTCTTTCCAAATAGGGCAGGTAAAACCTGGGCTGCAGCAGTTGGCATACGGAATGATCCCTGAGAGATTTCCCTGAGTACTGTATGCAGAGTTTCTTGACAATTCCATTCAGTTTGGTTGTAATAGTTTGATGATACAAAGAGAGCCTGATGAGAGAGAGAGAGAGAGAGAATTACTTTAAACAAGGGGGAAGCTTACATCTGATTTAGTAAATATCCATTTGACATTGATTACAAAGGAGGAACCTTATACAACTAAGACATTTCCTGACTTCAGGAAGGTTATAAACTGCTTTTTGTGGGGAGGTTGAGAATTGCTTAATAATACAAACTGTAATAGTACCAATGAGACTTCCTCTACCACATTCACTCTTGTATCCCCAGCACTGGAACACCACCTGTCATATAGGAGGCACTCAATGAATATTGTTAACAGACAAACTGTTGTAAAGAAGTCCTTAAGATGAATGCTCTAAGAGAGGCATTTAGTGGCACAGTCTTTTGAAAGAGGAAGAGCTCTAACCATTTAGTGGGGCCAAGGAAAGGCTTGGTGGGGCCATCAGTACTTGAGGTACTGCTGGCATTTCAGTAGGTGGCATGAGGAGGGGAGCACTGTACCCAGAGGGAACAGTGTGATGAAAGGTGCTAGAGCAGCAGTGGCCAGGACTTGGCCTGGCTGTGATGAGAATATCTGCATTTTAGCAAAATCCCCAGGGTATTTTTCCTGTTTTGGGAGGACTGGTATACAGGGAGCACACAGGGACATTGTGGGAGAACAGTCCAGACAAGGGGGTTGGGGAAGATTGGTAGACCCTTGAATTTTAGGGTGAGGTGTCTGACATCATTTGCTTGACAGTGGGCATTCTCATAGGTTCTTGAACAGGAACTATCTGGCCAACAGATATAAACAGGATTGAAGGAGCAGAATTATGGTGTAGGAAAAGTTAGGAGGGGATTTGAGTGAGAAAGACAAAGAGTAAAATGGGTTGGACTCAAAGACGTTGCTCTGTAGTTTCTGAGGGAAGAACAGTCTCCCCTTTCTATCTTTTCTTGAAGACTCTTCGAGTGAACCAAGTAGTCAACAAGCATTTGTGAGATATTAAAAGAGACAAAACTGAGCATATTACATCTCCTCTTAAAAACTGTCTTGTAGGCAGAAAACTCTTGATCCTGTTGGAAATTAATATCATCTGTAGGGTTTTTAAACAAGACCAAGCAGCAGAAAGAAAGAAGGAACTCCTACCCTTTGCAACAGCATGGATGGAACTGGAGAGTATTATGCTAAGTGAAATAAGCCAGGTGGTGAAAGTAAATACCATGTAATCTCACCTATAAGTGGACCATAATAAAATATGCAAACAAATGAGCAAAAAAGAACCAGAGACATGGAAAATAAAGAACAAACTGACAGTGACCACAGAGGAGGGAGCGGGATAACGGGGGAAAGAAGTGGAAGGGTCAAGTTAAGGAACATGTACAAAGGAGCCATGGACAAGGACAATGGGGTGGGCATTCTCTTTGGGAGTGGGGCTTGGAGAGGGCAGGGGAGAGCAAAGGGGAGAAAGATGGGGATGACTGTAACTGAACAACAATAAAAAAAAATAAAAATAAAGAAGACCAAGGCCCATGATCCGTCCCTAAATTTCTGTATTAACTGGACGGCATGGGGGCTAAACATGAGTGTTTCCTAAAAGCTCCTCCAGGTTATTCAAAATGTGCAGCCTGAATGGGAAGCCACTGTTATATGTTAAATTCAAATGCAAAAAGGCAGATGATGTGAGCAGTGATAGCAACACAAACAACCTTATGATTGGATCCCTGCCTGCAACACTAGCCTCGTGTTGTTATTTTTCCCAAGGACCCTATGCTGGCCATGCTGAACACCTTGATCTTTCTAAAATGTGTAATGTTCCTTGGTGCCTTTGATCTTTGTCCTGCTATCTTCTGTCCTTTCGAAGCTCCTCTCACCCTGAATTGGCATGGCAAAACTTTATTCATTTTAAATACTCAGTGAAATTTTTTTCCCTGTAAATCTTCCTTGATCTCTTCTTAGAGTTGAGTAAATCCGTGCAAGAATAAAGTCCGAGAGTTCAAGGAAGATATACAGGACAATGCAGGTACTGAGTGTGAGTTTTGAAACCAGCTCTTCAGGTTTCATCCCCAATTGCAAGTTACTGATACTCTTTGATTCATGCTCTTATTCTAGGAATTGAAGGTGATAATTCTTTCCTCATTGGTTTGTTTTGTGAATTAACGAGTTAATATCAATAAATACCAGCTGCTGTTCCTGCTACTGCAACTTGTACAACAGGAATATAATTCAGGAGGCAAGATAAAAATTCAAAATGATGGTATATGGTAAAGTGTGAAATTGCACATGATAGAACAAGATAGGTTGTAGTTGTAGTAGACTTTAGAATTTCTTAAAGAAGTTGTCAAAAAAAGCTGCATTGAAGCATTGGCTATGAAAAGGTAAAGACTGAAGGTAAGGAGACTACATTTCAGGCAGGGAGGGAAATGTGACTAAAATCAAAGTTTGTATGGGAAACAGAATGGATAATAAGAAAGGCCAATAAGAAAGGATAAAGGTATTGCTTTCCTCCACGACTCCCCTCTCTTGTTTCAGCCTCTGACTTACCTGCATAGCTTCTCCTGTACTAAATATGTTTCCAATGAGACCATTTTCTTTTTTCTCTGACAAAATCTTTTTTACCAGTGACTCTGTATAATTAGTGATATGCTTTAAGTCCATTTCACTTGCTTTGATCTGCCCATTTATTATTCTCCTCTTCACACAGGTCAGGGCCAGGACAGCCATTGCGCCAGTGTCTGTCAGGAAACCAAATATTGGTGATGGAGTGATCAACTGTGCCGGTTTGCGCTGCACTGATGGGTTTCCTGGTATGTGGGACTTTCAGTGCTGAAAGAGGAACATATGTGGGCAAACGGGGGTGGTTGGTCGTGCTAGCTGATGGCGGGAGAGAAGGATTTCAAGATATAGCAAGCATCCCTTCAGTACTAACCACTCAAATATTTTAAGATTCCTTCCTTATGTTGAGTAACCAGTACCTTGTACTCATTAATTCACACCTTGGTCATAGAAACACATACATGAACAGTCTTCCACTTTTAGATCTTGGGTTTTTTGTTGTTGTTTTTTTTTTTCATATAAAAAAATCTTCAGCCATATTGGCAAAGGAATTGAGAAAACAAAGGATGATACACCAAACAAAACATGTGTTTGTAATTTTCCAAAGTCTCTATTAGACTGATTAGAAAATAGCACTTAAGATAATTGTTTTCCAATAGACTCCCTTAAGGGGGAAGATGAGGCAAGAGATTAAAAGAAGGGAGAATAAAGTATTTTTTTTCTGGCTTGTTATGTGGTTTCCTAGGAAAAGGAGTATGATAAACCTCACATTCTTCTTTCTATCCAGAGATACTGAATGATTTTCTTTGAACATGTGTCTCTGGGTCCACAGGGGCTGAACACCATGCTAGCTGCCTAGAGGAGAATTTTTTTTGGATGAGTAAGCTGGCCCAGAGGAAAATTTCTGGTCCTTCCCCATTGTGAATGCACACTTTATTGATCAAAATATTGGGACTTGTTACCTGGAGAGGTTGCATTGTTCAAGTAAACTCACACATCTAAATGGGTCCAATAAATTAGAAAAAGGGGCAGAGCTTATGATTTATAAATGCCACTGTATTCCCTTTCCCTAACACTTATACTTCCTAAAGTGTCTTATATGAAGATCTCATGGTCTATCTTCATTTTAAAAATGGGGAAATTAAAGTCAAATTTAACATCCACTGGTTCTATAACTCAAGGAAGAGCTGGGATAGGACTCAGGTTTTTCTACTATGCCAGAAACCTAGAAAGAGACTTAACTGCCCCCCAATTTCCATTCCTCTCAAAAAGAAAATCCCCTTCTAAGGAGACTAGGGTAGACAGGATAGAAAAAAAATCTAAGTACTTAATGGAATAAAAACTCTAAGGGAAGATCTACTGATAGCTGTGTCCTCTCTATTAAGGGACTGAATTGGGTTTGATGACTCACCTACTGAGAAATGCCCACCAAAATAAAAGTTTTTATTTTCAGGTATGAAGTATTCATTAACTTCGGTGACTGAGTAGTTTCCATTGAACAGACACAAGGCCAGAACGTCCAGGCTGAGTTGATAGTAGTTAGTCAGTGGATTACCATCATGTATCACTGGTAGAGAGAAAAGAAAGTTTACTTATGGAAGTGGTTGTTTTGTGTAATACATTTGCAGTCTATTCCTACTTACTTTATTCCCATTTCTTTACACTTAAGGAGAGGTGAATAACAGAAAGGACAATCACTCATAGAATCAGAAAACTTGAGAAATTTAAAGGCTCTAAAAAGCCACCAAATTCAAATCCTTGCATTTTATCACTGAGGAGACCCAGCACTGAAGAGATTAAAATACTACCCTGATATTCAGATGGTGACAGAACTAGGACTAGGACACAAATGTCCCACTCCCAAGGCTCTTGCACTTTCAATAGTAATATGTTAAAGCTGTAAGTAGAAGCTGAGGCCATCTCAAAGAAGGATGGGATTGGAGGGACTTAATTAATAATAGAACATTGGGTAGAAGTTGAAATAAAAACAATGCACCTCACTGGGAGCCATCATCGTCAACCTACTGTTCCCAGTGATACAGTAATTTTGGCCATCTTTATTTTCCATGCTAGTGTCGTATGCCTTGGTACTGATGACATAGTGTCTTGTATTGCTCAGCTATTTCTGGTGTGATTCATTATTTGTCTGCAAGTCATGCTTGTAGAGGACTAGGGAAATGTGTTCTGTATGTGTATGTACACCATCATATGTAAAGTAGTACTTGATGTAGGGTCAATGCTCAGTTGAACATTTTTAAAAAAACAATGCAAGATGCATGTAAAAACAGGGAAGAAGGGAAGGTGATCTACAAAGATAGAGTGGGATCAACGGAATGAAGAGGAGAACTAAGAGTGGAAAGAAGCTTCACACATTTCTGAATCAGTGGAGAAGAAGACAAGGTTGTTTAGGATCTCTGAACACTTGATTCTCACCCATATTTTCAATTTCTTCTTGGAATTTCTTTTCTAGTTTGCTGACAAGATGTAAATGTGTAATGGTTTCATCAGAGTTCTGACATGCTCCCAAAGCCAGTGTAACCAAGGCAAGCTGTCCTGAGGTTAAATTTAACGCTGAGAAGAAAAGTATTTAATTTTAACAAGGTATATACTTTTGATTATTTTGGCCCCCTCTCTTCCTTGTGACTTATTTCATTTCTCACTTTTCTTTTGTTCCACTCTATACTAATATTTTACTGTTCCCACCTTTATTCCCCCAAGCAGAGTCTTTTTCTAGCTGTACTGTAAAAATGTAGGCTAGATCTTAGGTCTTTCCCATGAAATATGGGAGCTTTTTGGAATCATGAAATTCTTATAAAAATAAAAAAGAAAAATAGAGGAATAATAGAAATCTTGGGATTTTCTCTCATTGTGGGTGTCATATTGCCAGGATAGCAATCATTGACTTTTATATTCTACCTTATAGAGTATCAAAACTCCCTGGCTTTTCATAATTCTTGAAATAAGGGGTAGGAAGGGGTAGTTTCATTTCTCTCTGATATTAAATGGAAAGCTGAGGTTCTGTATTGACATGAAAAGCACAAAGTGGAGCCTGGACTCAAACCCAGGCCACGTCTCTATTGCTCTATGGTTGCCTCCCTATTGTCAGCTTTCTTAGTTGTGGTCCACATCCCTGTCTGGTTGTGAACTCAGCTATCTTATAGTGCAGTATCAATGGATAAGACTCTATAATTTCCTTTGCTTTTCCTTGTGACCTTTTGAAAAAAAAAAAGTGGTTTTCAGGACCCAAAGAAGTAAGTGGCTCTAGAGTAAGTGGCAGGGGATTGGTGTTTTGAGGTACCTTTCTGCCACCTCACGTTTTACATAGCTAGGATAGATGTAGAAGGGATACTTTGGACACAATTTTTAGGACTCATTGGAGATGATCTTCATAGATAGGCAACTGTTATCCTAAACCTTCCAGGGAATATATGTACTCACCCTTCTTTTCCTCATTTTTTTTGACTTCTTGGACCAGATGTCGTTCTAAGCTTTGGTCCTGGATCCCAACAAGTCTGAGGGACAACAGGACATTGGCAGCTTGGATTTCTCTGCTATATTTTGAGTTGATCATTGTGTTTAATAGAGGTAATAGAGTTAGACAGGAGTAGTTTTCTTGGCTTACCTCTGTGGCAGGGGAGGGAGAAAATAAGATATAAACAGAAAATATTAAGGCAAGGAACAGGTGTGATATTAAAATATTTAGTAACAGATATGGTACATAGACCAGCCCACTGGTCATTGGCTATGTTGCTGGAGCCCCTGCTACTCCTTTACCAATCAGCATGGAAGTATCCCAGTATTTTAACTACTGGTCCCTCCTTACCACTGGGTACTGAGAGAATGTCAGCTCTGCTTCAGAGATCTAGTATCATTTCCTTATTTTGAATATAAGGCCTAGAGAGGGCATCCTTAAAGAAAACTTGGTAATCAGAGGCTTAATGGAGACTAGAGTACACATCTTCTGATTCCTAGTCTATAGCCCTTTCTAATTTCTGGATTCCATTCTTTTCTTTTCCATCTTCTTCTAACACAAGTTGGTTAATATTGAGGGAGAGAAGGCCAACACTCTATGTTATATTGGAGATTGGCCCCCCCAAATGGAATTGTCTGACAACTGACCAGACATCCCGATTATTATTCAGCAGTATGCATGCTTTGGGAAACCCTCAATTTTAGCCAACAACTTGCCCAAATTTCAGGGAGAAGGATGGTGGGAATCACATTATACTGTGCAAGGAAAACGAGAGTTTACAGTCCCCCAACAACTGGAGGAAAACAAGAGTTAGTAACCACTCAGAACATTTATAAATATGCTTTGTTTATAATCCCAAGAAAATCCTACCCGTCTCCAGATTATCATGGGTTAGAGGGACAGTGAGAAGATCAGACCTTGGCTGGATTCTGTGCTTCTTAACTTAGGACTGTGGGTAAGTTACATAACTTCCTTGACATTCAATTCCTGCATTTTAAAATAGTGTATATTAACATCTACTTCATAGATATTGGACAAGAGATCATTTAATAAATTGGAAAATACCATATACATGATTACTTTTAGCTTAGCTGGAGCTTCTATCCCTATACTTAGAGAATCCAGGATACATGACTTCCCTAGCCCACCTTTCTTCATTTTAAAATGGAGATCAGGAAGATCTGAATTGAGTGATTGTAGAAAGGTCACACTTCTCCACAAGCACAGCTGGACAATTGTTGAGTCATCTCTGACATCTTGTGGAAGCGTCCAGTTCAATAGATTTTGTGGCTTTGAAACAGACTTTTTAGTTCCTGGTCAACAAGTCAAATCAGCTTCCTTGACCACTAAAGACAAAGTTAATTATTTTGTACAATGAATTGAACTTCAAAGCCTCCCAAGAGAACTCCTATTCTTAGGATATAACAAAGAAAATGACAGGGTGGGAAATAACATTAGAGTTGGCCCAGTCTATATGAACACAAGTCTTTCTGTTGTGGTGCTGATCTCTTCTTGTAGGCTACAGAGTACCAGGGAAATGGCACCATATAGTCATCTTTGGACTGATTTGAAGCTAAATTCCAAGGTAAAGACTTACATGCAGAAATCATACATCTGAGAGCTACACTAGGCTTCAAGAAATCACCTGCTTCAACATCCTTCTTTGATTATCCTCTGTTAAAGAATGAAGTTAGGAAATCAGAAACATTGGGTCATTTAGCTATCAAGGGATCAGACTAGACCTGAACCCACTTTTCCTTTCTTCTACTTACTATTTTTCAATAGAACCACATAATTGCTGGAGCCTACACCCGAAGGAGAGATAATGGGACTTGTACTCATGTCCTGCAGGAAAAAGTTGAAGTGAGGCATATGTGTAGCTTGGAACAGCTAAACTCAACAAAGGTAATAAAACAGTTCTTCATTATTTGAAAGCAATTATTAACGTTATCTTTTTTCTGTGTAGTCACAGATGGTTAACCCAAAACCCACAGGTTGAACTTCAGAACATAGATTGTATCTCAAAATCTAAAGATAACTTTCCATGATGTTGAACATTTCCTGGGATCATGAATTTTCTACCATTGAAAATGGACAAAAACAGGCAGTTACTTGGTAGTGTCACTGTGGTAGAGAGGACCTGAACAAAGAAGAACAGTTAGGCAAGGTAACAGTGAATCTATGATCCTGCTTATGATGATATACAGTGTAGAACTTTCCTGACCCTCTCTGGCCACCTTTTACGTGATGCACAGAGTCCAACTACATATAGAACTGAAATAGGGTCTTTTCTCAGGTAACTCTCTACAAAGTTTCTTATCAGTAGCTGTCAGGAGACTATCACAGTAGAGTAATATTAGATCAAAGGATACTCACCACAGATGGTGCCTAGTTGGCTTGGGATAAGAGAGAACAATAGGAGCCCCCCTAGGGGCAGCAGCTGTGACTGTCTCATCTCTCCTACGTGCTCTGGGGAGGTGAGGGAGGACTAGGCTCGCTATTTATTGGGTAATGGACAGAAGAGAATGAGACCTCCTGCTTCAGCTTGCCACAGCCTCTTTTACTCAAGCAATTATTGGGCAATTCAGGTAGGTGTGGTCCAGTGTATTTTTCCAAGTAATATGACAAACCAGGAAGAAATCTTGAAATGCACGGTCAGGGAGAATGAGGAAATAATTTGTTTCCTATTCCAAACCTTCAAGGTTCACATTTGTTACTTGCCTTCATCCCAATGAGGATAAATTAGGTGCATGACTATTTTCGGTAGTATTTCCCTCTTTTCCATTCCGTGGTTGTTATGTTTTTTATGTTCCCTGAGACATTAGATTTGATGGGGCAAGGGCTTACAATGAGTAAATATGGAAGCAGAAGTTCTAAGTCTGAAATTGGAGTAGGGAGGATAGGGAAGACTGGCACATGGGAGGCAGCATGGTTTTTGACCTATGATTTTCTCCTAAGATAGATGCCCTGAGAATTTCTGGGCTCGAAGGATAACCACAGAGATACACCTTGAATGTGGATTTTTGCTGTGCCAGGCAAGATGTCACATGCTACATGTGAGAAAGGTTGTCTCTCAGTTCTTCCAAGAACTTTTAGCAAATACTATCAGGTTAGCTTTGAAATGTTTGCTCTGGGCCAGCAAGATGGTGGAATAGGAGGCCCCTTGCTCACATCCTTCCACAGAAACAGTATGTGATGCAGCCACCTACAGACAAAAGTTCCTCTGTGGGAACTCTGGTTTCTGGTTAGGGGGTTGCAAAACCTCAGTGGAGCTGCTGAGGAGGGCTGTGTTTAGAAAGCACTCCAACGGAGACAGACTTGTGTACGTGCAAGCTCAAGCACAGATTTAGCTAACTCTCATTCTTCTTCCTGGCCTGACATTTTCCCTGTTGTATCCTGAGAAAGCTGGTTCACTGACCATGGTCCTGGCTAGAGACCCAGGAACAGCCTTGCCTAAGTCTTTAACCTCTGTGAGTCTGTTTCCTCATCAATACAATGCAGATAATAATGCTTCTTCTTTCCTAAAGTTTTGTGAAAATTTTATGAATTCCCATAAGGGCACTGGAATAGCACCCAGCACATACCAGGCAGTACGAAATTCTCAACTCTTACTGTCTCAGTCACCATCCCCTCACGTGTGCCTACCCGAAGTCTGATGGTCACGCCTGACACCTGACTCCCCCAGCCACTGAGCTGATCAGGCTCCCGTGTCAAACATTCGACCTTCTGGAACCAGTCTGCTTCTCTGCCTTTACTGCCATTACTCTGGTCTAAATTACCATGATTTCTGTACTTCCACATTTTTGTTTTAGCCACTTGTCCCCTCCTCGTCACTTTCCTTCTAACACCGAGAGCAGCATTTCCCAAACGTGAGTAATGTGTACACCCTGTCTAAAGAAAAGGAATTCACAAGGAATGCAGTTTGACACAGGGTACCCTAAGACTTGGACTTGAGGAAAATGTCAGTTTTGAATTTTTCTTGCAGAAGTGCTATTTATTGTCCTGGCATTTTTTTTTAAAAAAGTTATTCAAATCCTCATGAAATTGGAAATACGTCTGCGACTCTGTGGGCTCCGTATTGTTTCACACCCACAGTGATCTTCCAAACCATAATTCTGATTGCCTCTGGCTAAAGCCTTGAAGGCTTCCATTGCACTTTGAATAAAGCTCCATATTTTAAGTGTGATCTCTAAAAACCTGTTCCTTCTGACCCATGCCTGTCTCTTCAGCATTTATTTCACTATCTTGTATATGATGCTCCAGACTCACTTTTTTTTCCAGCTCTTCTGTTGTGCCAGGTTCCTTCCTGCCTCGAGGCTTATTTGCACAATGGTTTTCCTGTCTCGAGTGCTTGCTTTCAGGTGATGCTGCTTCCTGTCTCCTCACATACCCCGCTTCTCCTTCTGGTTGAATACCACTTATTCAGGGATGCTCTCTGCACGCCCAAACCTGGTTATGCCCTGCTGTATGTACTCTCTGGTCACTCTGTACTTCCCTTGGTAGCACTTCTGAGATGTGCAATTAGTTACTTGCAAAATGATTTCTTAACTGTGTTTTTTTAATATCACTGTCCCTGCCAGACCGGGAGTTCCTCAAAGGTAAGGGTTAAGTCTTTCTTGCTTGCTCTTGTATTTCCTATGGTACCACACAAAATGCCTGCTTCGTAAGAGGTTGTCAAATGTTTGCTGAAAGGAAACTCCTCAGATCCAGAGCCAAATGATAAATTAATAACGCGTATTGGTAGATAATCTTATTGGAGCAACTACGAGAAATTTATACAGGAGCAAACTAGAAAAGTGATTGAGGTGACTTCCATCAGGATTGGGAGAGAGAGTTCAGGATTTAAGCATCTGTGGTTTGGAGTTAAGGTCACCCAACTATGAAATATGTCAACTGTTCAGCATTTCCTTATCTAATCAAGCAGATCCACTTTGAGATAATCTACACTCCTTTTCTTTTACCTCTATTTGTGCTGATATGCAAGATTTATGTAATTCTGGTTGTTTGCTTGACTTACTGAGGGTGACTGTTGAGAAAGGAGCCAAACACTAAAATGTCTAGTAAAACCCAAGTCTCTCCAGGGTTATCAGCAGAGCAAGACAAGGTCCTTGGGGCTCCTAGGGTGATCAGGAGATTCAGCCCAAAACAAGTTACTCTGAGCTGAGCACACATGGCCTCAAGTCTACTCCTGCGTTGCATGTATGGGAGCTGGAACAAGGGTATGAGTGGAGGCACATAACCGTATTGCTTCGTAAAAGTTATAAATCAATGGAAGAAACTCTTAAATAAGATCTGTCCTGCCCTTCTGTTCTGAAAAGCCAACTTTCATAATGAGATAGAAAGACAAATTTTAATTCAGAATCCTCAGAGACTCAGAATTCTATTCTGGAACATTTCCATGTGGTGAGGGCCACCATCCTTCTCTGCTCCACTGTACTCCCCAACCCACGGCCCATGGCCCAATGTCTCTCCTCTTTCCAACCCCACTCTGACCTGTGCTGTAAGGGGCCTCCCACCCACGGGCATGTGTGCGGACACTACAGATGTCACATCCAAGCTCTGTTCACATTTCTAGCAGGTGACTGCTTCTTGGCTACTCACTGGATACAGGGTACACATACTTGGGAGGTCAGACTCAGGAAAGGGTCTCGTGCAGGCCTTGGGTGTGAGCTCAGGGCTGTTTGGACAGGACATTCTGGGGGCTTGTCCTCTTGGTCCAACTTATCTTTTTCCCCAAGTGAAGACATGGTGGAGAAAGCCAGAGCAAGACCCTTGGAAGCATGGATTGCTGAGCAGAGGCCCTTCCTTTCCATGTCAGAGGGTGAAACAAAATGGCATGGTGGCAACTAATTAATCTCCTCTTTTCTTTTTTTTTTCCTGTTATCATATGTGGACGTGTAGAAGAGGCTAAAACTGGGAGGGAGGAGGGAAATGCTAAATTGAGTGATGGCTATTTTTCCCCCCTTTTGGAAAGACTTTGTTCAGACTGTTGATTCTGGACTTTGTCCTAACATCATTCTAGTCAGACTGGTCTCTCTGTTGTTTTAGGTTATTCCAGATCCTCAAAAGACTATGACTGCCAGCACAAATGTTATAGAGTGTTTATATCATGTCAATGGAAATACCAAGAGAATGCATGAAGCAAAAAAGATTTGGATTCACTTTTTTATTCCTATTGATTCATCAAAGATGACACTTACTGAGTAGCCTCTAGGCACATTTGATGTCTTATTTAAAATTATGATCTTACACTTCAAAGGACACAGAAGATTTCTAATATTGGTGTTGTTTTTTTTTAAGGCTCTACTATAAAACAGATGAGAATGAAATGAAAATAATTGAAGGAGAGTTGGAGGCCTGCCTTGCTCCCTCCCTCATCAACATCCTGAGGACCTCTCTGCTCAGGATTTTGAAATGTGAGCCCCCACGTTTCACCTGGGGCAGTGGTTAAAAATGCCTATTCTTGGGCCCTAACCCTCTATATTAGACTATGAGAATTTACATTTTGACAAGAAACTGCAGTGATTCATATATACTCTAAAGCTCCCAGCTACAGCAGATCCTGCTGGATGGGAGCGGGGCTAAAACATCTGTGTTTTTGAATAGCACTCCTGATAATGTTGGTATCATTCTAAAGTTTCACAGCCGTTGAATGCCGTGCTCTCTACTGGGAGAGTGTCTGAGTCGGTGGTTCTCGCAATGTGATCCTGGCACCAGAAGCATCAGCATCCCCTGGGAACTTTCAGAAATGCACATTCTCAGGTTCCACACAGCCCTGAATGAGAATCTCCAGGGTTCAGCCCATCAACCCACGTTTCCACAAGGCCGATGTTGCTCGTGTTCGAAAACTACAGGCTCAAAATATCTCCCTGAATATCATTCTTTGATACTATCAACAGGTATTGACACTCCTGAACATTTTCTTTCCCCAGGAACCTCAGAGGGCTGGAGGAGTCACGGGTCTCCAAGATTTGCTGGTGCCACTTCATATGCACCCCTGATTTTGGTGCTGGAGTGGCCATGAGAATGTCCAGCTTCAGGACGGAGAAAGAAGTCTTCCTGGGAATATTAAAAAAATGGCCACTTTAATAAACAGTACTTATTTTGTTCTTTGTACTTCCCGTATTTTTCAGACATTAAGCAATTTGGAGGAGGAAAAACCCAGTACATACTCCTAGAAAATAAAAGCAATCAGCACAAAGTGATTTATAAATGCAATCAGCTGGGTGTGGCATTACCTATAAAATGACCCAAAGCAGGTCAGGCACTTCCAATTTCCCGTGTATCTGAAGGGTCATTGGTTGGAGATGACGACCAAAACCATGAAGGATTTTGTGGGGTTACAATCATTATTTTTGTGCATGATTTTGGCTTTTTCTGGGCAAAAGTCAGGTACACGTTTTATTGTTTGAAGGTGTGTTTTCTTAGAGGCTGCTGGCTGTTCCTTTTTGCTGCTTCCAGGAGGAGCGACTTGCCATTCTATTGTTCTAACGCCTAGAGAAGTGACGCTTTTTCTCTTTTGGCCTTTTCCATGCCCCCCTTCCCCCAGCAAGTGATTTATCTAGTTAATCTTGTGTTTGGGAAAGTGATAATTATATTCTTCCTTCTAGATGTACATATTTCCCATTGTGTGGCTTTCCCTTCCATCCCTGCATCTGGGGAAAGAGATTTCCCTACCTGAAGTTTCAGACTGCTTTTCCATATGCCACTGTGATCTGCTCCTAATCCAGCCACCTGCGTCCAGTCACCCTCTGTCCCCTCCTAAGCGATGGCGTGTTAGTTCTAAGTCAGGTTGTGGAAACAAAGCTCTCCATTCTTTCTCTTCTTACTTCTTATTTTTCCTGCATCATAAAGTTATCTTTTAATATCTGTTGTTTTATTTGTAATCCACTTCCTTCGTGTGTTCTACTTGTGGCTTAATCTGCAGTGATCTTTCTTCATGTAAGTTATTTATTTTTTCTTCGCTGAAAATGTCACTGCATAGAAGTACTACATACAAAGTAAACTTAATGTTCATTTTGTTATTTTTAATATTCCCTAATCATGAAAATATAGCATTGCCTAGCTTTATCTGTAGAACGTGTCTTTGCCTATCTCTCTGAAAACTTAGCATTGACCCCTGGTTTGGAGTAAATGAGGCACTGCAGCTGTGCATAATGAGTTGCGCTCACAGTCGGACTCACCAGACATGAGTAGGCCTTAATCTAAGACACTCTTCATTTTGCTTTGTAGAAGGAGACACAGCAGGTACAGATCTTCATTTCATGGGAAGATCAGCAGTGGTTGAAATATATGGTTTCCTTTGTCCCTTCACCTACAAAAGCTGTGTTTGGCTGCTATGGATGAGGGCCAGAAGCTACAGAGAAGCTGTGGCTTCAGTGTCCCACTGATCATTTATACTGGCCCCGTCCTGGCGAGCCAAGGCCAACACACCAGCTCGAGGCTGCCCTACTCTGGGGGCAGTCCCACAGTGCAAGCAAAGCAGAGAGAGCATCACATGTTTAGCTTAACTCTAGTTTTAAAGGAAATGATGCTAGGAGGAGGAAATGAAGATTGTCTCCAGATAGGCCTGCACGAGTCTGATCCGATGGTAATTCTTCACTCACAGCTGTTATGACTTCATCTGAATGATCACATTGCATCTCTCAGGGGTGTTCCAGGGGGTACTTACTTATTTATTACTGTGCACAAACTTTCTCTGAGTGTCCTCCAGAACTCAAATTTTTATCTGAATCTTTTTTGGAGGGGTTCTTTCAACAGTGTCCGTAGGATGTACTTCTACATTCTGGGCTGTGGTCGAACTGACTCTACTTAGTCAAGGTCACTTTTTGCATTCTGACGCGATGCCTCTGGGAACTGGTTGTCCTGTAACCAACATAATCCCTGAGATGGGATATAAGTTTAAGTACCTTGTCACCGAGTGCAGGATTCAGAAAGAGGTAAGAGCTGTGGCCATTTCAAATAAGAACCTAACTCCCCAATCTTACCTTGCAATGGCACGGCGCGTTGAGTTAGTGCAAGATAGGTGCAATCAAGGCCAAAGATGAAGAACCTGTCATTTTTATGACGCTTAAATTCGGCACTTTTAGGATAAAGACCAATGGGACCCAGGATTTGGTTTTGAAGAGCTCACAGTGCATTGGGGAGAATACACTGATGTATATGTTATTATGACTTCTCAAGCACTCAAAAATCATCTTTAGTCCTCACACCTCCTAAGATCTAGAAACACTGGAAAGAAGGTATTATTTCCAGTTTTCACAGTAAGTAACTGAAGCTAAAAGGGCTAACAGTTGACCACAGACCATGCAGCTGTCTAGCAGGTGAAGGACTAGATATTGGTGAATGAGATTTACATTCATCCTTTGAAGAAGGAGACAATGGGATATCAAATTGTTTATGTTTGGGCTATTGAATTGTATGAGTCCTTTATGTTTTGGGATATTAACCCATTATCAGATATATGATTTGCAAGTGTTTTCTCCCATTCAGTTGGTTGTCTTTTCATTTTGTTGCTGGTTTCATTTGCCAGGCAGAAGCCTTTTCATTTGATGTAGTCCACTCATTTATTTTTTGCTTTTGTTGCCTCTGCTGTTGGAGTCAAATCCAAAAAGTCATCACCAAGATCAGTGTCTAGAAGCTTACTGCTTACATTTTCTTCTAGGAGTTTTATGGTTTCAGGTTTTACATGGAAGTCTTTCATTCATTTTGGGTTAATTTTTGTGTATGGGGTAAGACAGTGGTCCAGTTTCATTCTCTTGCATGAGGTTGTTCAGATTTCCCAGCACACTTATTGATGAGATTGTTCTTTACCCGTTGTACATTTTTGGTTTCTTTCTCATAAATTAATTGACCATATATGCAAGTGTTTATTTCTGGACTCTCTCTCATTCCATTGATCTGTGTGGCACTTTGATATTATTTTATTGGTGAATTTTGTGTCCCCATTCTAAGGTGTATTGGTCTGTTAGTTCTTATTGTTATGTATTTGATTTTGGCAGGGTTATACTGCCTTTACAGAATGAGTTGAGTAATGTTCCATCTTCTATTTCTTGGAAGAGTTTGTGAGCCCAAAACCCAGGCATGTGCCCTGAGCAGGAATTGAAATGAAGACCTCTCATTTTGTGGAACAATGCCCAACCAACTGAGCCACACCGGACAGGGCTACAACTTATAGACTCTCGACAAAAATAATCAGTAACAACATGATGGACAAATAACCATGTTAATGGATGTTGAATTTCTATTAAATGTCCTTGTAAGCATTTTATTTACATGAGATGATTTATTGCATAAATTGACAGGTTGAAAAATGGTAATCCAGTATGACATTTTTAAAAAACAGTATGTGATAGAAAAATATACCACCTAAAAGCGTTTACAGATATTATTTCTGTGTTGGGATTATGGACAGTTTTATTCTGCCATTACACAGTTTTTTTTAATGTCTCCACAATAAGCATGTATTCAGAACACATGAACCTCCAATTATGGTTTTAAATAAAAGTACCCTTCTGTCTAATATCTCCAGAGGCCTGGGACCTAGCACTGTGGTAACATTTGAAGGCCAAATCCCAGGATAAATTTATTAAGTAGAATGTGTAACCCTTGTTTCTGGCCTGGCAATTCATGATTTCAATTTCCACAAATGCACCGATAGTCTAGCAGGGGTGTCCAAACTTTTGGGGTGTCTGGGACATGCTGGAAGAAGAAGAGTTGTCTTGGCCACACATTAAATACACAAACACTAATGAAAACTGATGAGCAAAAAAAAAAGGTTTTAGGTAAATTTATGATTTTGTGTTGAGCCACATTCATCACCATCCTGGGCTGCATATGGTCCACGGGCCACGGGTTGGACACCCCCGGTGGGGCCTGACTTGGTGTTTTCTTGGTGGTCTCCGAAGAGACTTTAGCATAAAGATCTTACATCTTGACATGATCTGTTCCTTGTTCAAATTCCATTAAAACCCCTGTGTGAGGTGGTATTAAAAAGGTCTTTTTGTCCCATTGGGTTTTCTCCTATGGAGTGATTTTTTACTCAGCTCTCCACTATGCCATCATTCGCAAAGGAGTCACTGGAAGAATTCCTTTAGTGTATTTTGTTTCCAGGTGAGTATAATGGACCAGATCATGTACTGTTTGCTCTCTAAGGACCGCTTGTTAAAAGTAAAGCGTTTGGAAAGTGAAGCTCAGCTGGGTCAGAGCCCTGGAATGATGCTGGTTTGAACTGTTCCTCTGCCCAATGAAGTACTTCTCTGTGTCATTTGTCATTGCAGATGCTCTGCCCAGGCCCACTTGGGTCTTCCTCACCATGTCTGTGTGCCCCTCACCTTGCTTCTGGGCAGATGGGCCTTTAAAAGCCCCAACTGGGCCTGGGAGTTTACAAAATTCTCCCCACCTCTGTGATTGAGTGGAATTTGAAAGAAAGCCTGACTCTATTGCCTGACTCGAGGACAAAGCGTGAGGCAGCATTTGACTTTGGAGCTCCCTTGTAGGTTCTGCTGGGGCAAGGACTTTGCCTGAAATAGCATGCTTTTCTTATCTTTATTTTCCTTTTCTGCTTCCCCATCGTCTTACTGGAGGCACTTCTAGAATAAATCACCTGTTTGTAAGTCTTTTGGTCAGGCTCTGCTTGTGGGGAATCCTACTGAGACAGTATAGTGGGTTAACAGAACTTGGGCTGAAATGCTGATAGTTAGCAATCAGCCAGGTCAAAGTGAGACTTAGTGGCTTATTTTAAAATTTGACCTGATAGGCAATTTTTCTCTTCTTTAAAACTTTTAGCTCATCCTTTTTAGATACCACTCCAAGCACTACTGGAAACAGACTTACAGAGTCCGATAATAACCTTCCCTCTGCCAAACATGGTCTTTCCTGGAACTTACCCAACACCTGCTTATTTGGAATGCCTTGGATTCTATACTTCCAAGACCCCTCAGTGAGGATCCTTAGAACAGGCAACACATGACGTTGTCGATAGAAGGAACGACAAAGCTTAAGTCTCTGCTTATTAGCTTTTTTCCCCTTGTGGTTTAAATAGTGTCTAGCTATGTGATCAGTCTCACATTAATTATGATCACATTTGGAAAAAAAATGCTACTTCCATGTGTCCACATATGTTGTGGTCTTATTGATAAGTTTTCTCTCACTGCATTTACCATGTCAAATGAACTAAATCTCCAGTTTGCTTTAAACGTAATCTGGGTTGACAATCAAACCATTCACTTTAAATAGTGTTTGCGTGCTGGGATAGAAGTGGCTGAGTGTTTCAATCTCCTCAACCTTTCTCTCTAACACCCGACACATAGTAGGTGCTCAATATTCATTTGGTCAAAGCAGTAGTCAGTTGGGTTTTCTGTACCAAGTTTGTTGGTAGCAACATTGCAGCTGCTCATTAACTTCCTGTCTTTTTCTTCTGCAGGTGAACCCACCCCATCAGTTACTTCTGTTTAAAAGGCCTCATTCTTTAGCCTATGAGAGTGCAAATGCGGCTGTGTTTTAGGTTATTCTGTAGCAATCTTGATAAGTGTGTTCTGTAGAATTCTTAAATCTAGTTTTAACCCAATCACTGTAGATTTTGGAACTTTTCTATGCCACCTCCTGGGAGGCCATCTAGAATAACTTCCAGATGTGTTGGGATAGTGCCTAATACTTCATATGTTTTTCAGAAGTTGGGGTTGTTTTTTTTTTTTAAGCAAAGTGGCAATGTGGCCCTTGCATATTCTCTTATGATAAGTGGATATCTGTATATAATTTTTATGTGGAGTTGATTTTACAAATAAAACATGCCGTGTCTTTGTGGCTATACTTCTTGATGTCCGAGTGCTAAACTTAAATAAGGTCCACACTGCGAGGCTGGTGTGGAAGGCCGTTGTCACCCACCCCACTGTAAGGAGCTGTTTAATAAATCACTTATGAGGGGAGACCCTAAAAACCTGGAATTTATTTATAAAAAATTGTGTATTTATTCTTACATGTTTAAACTTCAGCCACCTTCAAAGTACTCTCCATATGATGCCATGTACTGATCACAACATTGTTTCCACTGCACAAAACAGTTTTTGAACTCTTTGATTTTGATGCCTTTTACTGCTTTTGCTGTTTTTTTTTTTTTTTTTGGTTTTGTTTTGTTTTTTATTCACCTCTTCCTCATTGGCAAAACATTTTCCTCTGAGAAGTTTTTTCATCCAGGGAAACAAAAAAAATTGCCTAGGGTGAGATTGGGTGAATGGGGGGAGTGGGGCATTTTTGGTCAAAAGCTGCTGAACACTCAGTGCTGTGTGAACAGGTGCTTTTGTAAATCACCCATCATGAAATGGGCAAACGTGTTGAGTCTTCAAAAAACGTTCACTGAGGCTAAACGCAGCCTGTCACAACGATGCCAGCTGGTACACTGATACAGATGGGTTCCTAGAACGCTCACCTAAAGGGGGAAGCCTGTACTACAAGGGACACACCATCCGGAAGATAATTTATTTTGGGGGGAGGCCACCCTTGTACAATGGTTCTGCTAGTTTATGCCTGATAATGCATGAAATTCTTTTAATTTAACCTCTTTTGAGAGGAGATGATGCTGGAAAAAAGAGTTGATAAAGAACTTTCAGAAAGGTGAGTGAGTGGTTCCTATTGATAGTTAATTAAGCACATCTTCACACCAGGAACCCTTCTCAACATTAGCTATTGTATGGATCTCCTACTTTTAATCTCATATTGAGTCTGAACCTTTATCTCAATTTGAATTCTGTTCAGATTGCATGCCACTTACCAGCCGTGTGGCTTAAGGCTGGGTTTTTGATTCCTCCATGTATCACTTGATTATAAGATGGGAATAAAATAATATCTACCTCCTAGGACTCTTTTAATAACTAAATGAATTAATAAAAAATTTTAGAACAAGTGGTTATTTTTTTAAATTAAATTTATTGGGGTGACATTTGTCAGTAGAATTATACAGATTTCAAGTGTACAATTCTATAATATATCATCTGTATATTGCATTGAGTATTTACCACACAAAGTCAAATCTCCTTTCATCACCATATATTTAACCCCCTTTATCCTTTATTACCTCCTTCCACCCCCCTTTCTCTCTGGTAGCCATTATACTGTTGACTGTGCTTATGAGTTTTTGTTTTAGAACAACATGTGTTTAAATGTTAACTCATGTCACAGATACAATGAATAAGGCATAGGTCTATCTGTAAATTTAATTAGATTAGAACTGAATTCAACCAACAGTTTAAATGAACTCAGAAACAGTTTCTTTCCCTGAGCTTGTAGATAAGAGCCCAGCCTGGCCAACATTGTGATTTTGGCTCCATGGGACCCTAAGCAGAGAACCCAGCTGAGCTCACACGGACTTCTGACCTCACATCTGTGGGGTAATGAGTGGTATTGCTTTAAGCTGCCAGATTTGTGGTGATTTTTTATGCAGCAATAGGAAACTAATACAGAAGGCATTCTGAGTGCTTGAGAGAATTGGGTGATAGTTGCTGGAACCCAGAGAGTCAGGAAAGAATTGTAGGGACTACAATGCAACAGTAAAGAGGAATAGATTAGATTTCATTTAGAAACATGCATTTAGCTCCATACAGAAAGGTAAATAAAAGGGCTCATGGACATGGGCAGTAGTGTGGTGACTGTTGGGGGTAAGGGGGGGTGAGTTGAGGGTAGGTGGGAGAGGGCATAAGGGAGATAAATGGTAATGGAAACATATAATAAAAATAAATTTAAAAAATGCAAGAAAAACGCCCAAGGCCTATAGCACTGCACTGTTTATAGACATACAGTAAAATATATTTCTCACATTGACATATATGTAAAAAAACACTTGGAAAGTAGGATGGAAGGATGGACATTAACCACTTAAGGGTGACCATAGGAAGCAGGGGATGGAATAAAGAAAAACAATACAATAAGAGGGTCTTTGCATAGACTAATGATACTAGTTGGCTATGCTAAAGAGTATGATCAATTGATTCCTGCGTTCTGAGATTATAATAATGATTAGAAGAACATATTAGGACACATACACACACACACAAAAGGCCATGTGAGAAGACAGAAAGACAAGACAGCCATCTACAAGCCAAGGAGAGAGGTCTCAAGAGAAACCAACACTACCAACACCTTGATCTCAGTCTTCCGGCCTTCAGGATTGTGAGAAGATAAATTTCTGTTGTTTAAGCCAGTCTACGGTACTTTGTCATGGAAACACTAGAAAACAAATAAGATTAATATTTGTTCTGCTCTAGGATATTTGACTCTTATTGTGTCCACTGTTCAACGTTATTGCTTGTATTCTGCTCCATAGTATTTCAATATTGAGAGAAATCTGGAGGGTGAGTGTGATTAAACTATTTACATTACTGCAAACAAGTTATTTCTGGAAACAAAATATTATCTAAGAAGAGGCATATCCCAAATTCAGGACCGTTCTTTTTTTTAAAATTAATTAATTAATTAATTATTTCAACTACATTTGTCTCTGCCTTCCTCCCACCACTCTCCCTTGCCCCCTCCCTCAACTCTACCCCTTTGGTTTTGTCCATGAGTCCTTGCTATATGTTCCTTGACTTTCCCCCTTCCCTTCCTTTTCCCCCACCTCCCCCTCTTTCCCTCTTGTCTCTCTTGGTTTCTTTTCCTTTCAGTGTTGCTGGTCTTATTTTCCTTGCATCTTTGTATTGTTGGTTAGGTTCCGCTTACGGGTGAGATCATATGGTATTTGTCTTTAGAACACTGAAAAGATTTTAGTTGAATTTTGGATTTGGTGATAGTATTGGACTAGGAGTCAAAGCACCTTCATTTTGACCACCCACTTTCACGGACTTGGAATAAGCCTTTCTCTGTGTTGGCCATCAGGGTCCCGGTTGGTACAATGGGAACATTTCCAGGGGTCTTTACCTCCCTTTCTCTTTGGAACTGAATAGTGTAGGGGAAACAGGAAACTTTTCACCCATTAACTCTAAATTTATTTGTTTCCTGCAGTTCTTCAGTTTGTTCTAACCAGTCCCAAATCAATTAGCTTGATTCCCAGGTTATGTTATTCAATGTAATTAGGATTAACCTTTGACTACAGGCACTAAACAACTAATGGAAACATAAACTTGCATATACAAG